AGAGTGCCCAATTGATTAAACTAACATCCTGATTAGTCAGTGTGATGCCCCGACTTAATTAGTGATATTCCGATTGATCTGAGTGATGCCTCGACTGATCAAATTGATGCGTACACTGATCAAAGTGATGTCCCCACCCGTCTGAGTGATGGCCCATCGGATCTTAGTCATCACCCTGATGAGTGGGGACATCACTTTGATCAGTCGACTGAACTGAATAATGTAACTGGCCAGATTGATGTCTCGCATGATCAGAGTGATGCCCCACTTGACCACGGAGATGCATCAACTGATCTGAGTGATGCCTCGACTGGTCAGGGCGATGCCTTGTGCCTCGACTGATTAGAATGATGCTTCGACTTATCAAAGTGATGCCCCCACCCACCTGAGAGATGGCTCATCGTCTCAAAGTGAATCACCACTCTGATGTGTGGGAGCATCACTTTGATTAGTCGATTGAAACTGAATGACCCCCGACTGATTTTATTGATGTCCCATCTGGTTAGGGTGATGCCCTGACTTATGAGTAGTGATGCATAGCTTCGTTTGATTGGAGTGGTATCAGAGTGATGCCCAGCTTAATCAGTGATGCTTTGACTGATCAAATTGATGCCCACATTGTTCAAAGTGATGCCCCTACTAGTCAGTGTGATGACCCATCGAATCTTAGTCATCACCCTGATGAGTGGGGGCATCATTTTGATCAGTCGACTGGACTGGATGCTGTCCCATCTGGTCAGAGTGCTGCTCCGCCTGATTAAAGTGATTCCCCGATTGATCAAACTGATTCCCCCACTCGTCTGTGTGATGGCCGAGCGGGTGTTAGTGAGTCATCATCCTGATGAGTGGGAGCATCACTTTGATCAGTCGACTGAACTGAATGATATTCAAACGGTTCAGATCGATGTCCCGCTCGGCCAGAGTAATGGCCTGCTTGTCCAAGGTAATGCTCCCCTTGACCATAGTGATGTTTCGACTAATCTGAGTGATGTCCTAACTGAAAAAAGTATGCCCCGACTGACCCAATTGATGCTTGAACTAACCAGAGTGATGCTCCGCCTATTCAAAGTGATACACTATCTGGTTAAAGTTAGACCCTACTTGATAACGGTGATGCCCCGACTGATCTGAGTGATGCCCAAACTGATTAGAGTGACGCCCAAGCGTATTAAAGTGATGCCCTCAATTGTCCAGATGCCCCACTACTTAAATGATAAGCAGAGTTATGCCCAAACTCAAAGTGATATCCTAACTTAACTAACTGTAATGTGATGCCACTGATTCCCCAAGTTGGTCAACGATGTCCTATCAAGTCAAAGTGACGCCCCTATCAATCAAAGTCGGGGCATCACTCTTATCAGGCAGGCACACCACTGCAATCAGATGGAGCATCACTGATATGAATCAGGAATCAGATTATCAATCGGAGCATCATTTGCTCATTCGATGCATTACATTGACAAGTCGTGGTTTCACTCTGCTTAGATGGAACATCACTGATCAGTTTGGACATCACTTTCCTCAGTTTTGGACAGGCATCTTCTGATTACAAGAAAGCGAAGTCCTTTGTGATCAAAGTAATGACCCGGTTGATGAGAATGATGCCCTTACTGGTCATAGAGATGGCCTGATTGATAACAGTGAAGCTCCAACTGATCAAAGGGACGCCCTGGACTGATCAAATTGATGCCTATACTTTACAAAGTGGTGATTGGTGAGAGTGCTGCCCCGACTGGTCAAAGTGATTCCTCTACATGACCGATTGATTATAGTGAATTCCTAACTGGTCAGAGAGACGGCCCGACTGATCTGTGTTTTCCTGTTTGGTCAAAGTGACCCCTGGTGAAATTGATGTCCCGACTGCTATTAGTGATGCCCTTCTGGTCAAAGTGTTGCCCGACTGATACACCGAATAATTGCATTGATGCTTAGACTGGTCAGAGTGATGTTTCGACTTAATTGGTGCCTCCCGAATTAAGAATGATACTTAAACTGGGCGAAGTGATGCTACGTCTAATAAGAGTGACGTCCCTGTTGATCAGAGTGATGCACCGACTAATCTCTATCAGGTGTTTCCTTAGCTCATTGTTGAACTAATAGATGCAGTAAATTGTTTTTATTATTTTGTTCCCATTTTCTGTCAGATCACCGATAAGTTGTCTATGTCGCCAAGACATGACTTCGACGAGGATCTCTTTAGTCGCAGCTGTGTACAGACAAATTGGGATTTGGTGATACATGTAGATGCTACCGATTAGGGGCCATGATTTCCGACAATGGATCTTGACCGCCTGCTGTTTTAACGACCTCGATCGCTTTAATGTCTAATCTTTCCATCTGAAGGAATTTTCGAAGGACCGATGGCAGATCTAGGTCACTTATTTGACCACACGAATCACTCTTTTGAAGACACTTTCTGACCTTTAACCTACTTAATTCTGTTAATCTCGGAACAGCGTCGGTAATTGTGTCCAAAAACGCAGATGCTGAAATGCAATCAATGTCCCACATTTTTAAGAGCTGGATTATTCTGCAGCATTTAAACAGAGGACATCCGAGACAATACAGCCTTTGCATCATCACCTCAATATCAAAGTTGAGTCTGAAGCCGAACCTCATGATCAAATCCACACAATCCTGAGCCTTGAGCTCCGATAAATCGCCATTATGGCTGACCATCGTTTGGAAGATGTCTTTATTTCCGCAAACGAGAGCAAGATGCATCGAAGTTGTTCCTGAAAAGTCTTTCATGTTTGGATTGGCACCCAGTTCCAAAAGCATCTTCAGTAATACGATGTTCGCTTCCACCGATCCCAAGAAACAATAGTGAAGGGCGGTGCTGCCTGTATTATCCCGAATATTCACATCACATCCAGCTTCCAGAAGAAATCGACCACCTTCCAGAAATCGCTTCCTCACACAGCTAATCAATGGCGTTTCTCCTGATTTATTTTGCGTGTTTACATCAAATCCAGCATTACCGCAATTGATCAAAGCTGCAAATTTTTCTTGTCTATTTGTCCTTTTGCTTTCGATTACAGCAAAGATGACGTCTGTATGTTTGGGAATATCGTGACCTTCAATGGGGTCAGTGGTACAAGAACCAATGACATTGAAGGTCACAGGTACTTGTGTAAGAATGGATACCATCTTGTTTGCTCCTGAAGTCTTAATCAAAATACCCTACAAAGATAAAAAATTTGACGATTACTTAGAATGGATGTATAAGAGAAGTAGGCCTACTTGGGTTCCTTGGCATGAAGCTCATTGACCAAAGCCTTTTGGATTGCAGTTTCCTTTTCTATCCTCACAATTGCATACATATTAAAATCCTTTACCTTATCCCTGACACTATACATTATATTATCTCGTTCATTCTTTTATTTTTGATATAGCCACATCAGTTAGGGTCTAACGACAGCCCTCTTAAACGTTCGTCCAATTAACCTTTTGACCACGTCATAAAATTCCAGCGGTAGAGAGGGTACAAGTTTGATTGGTTAAAGGAAATGTCATCGAGTTAGGCCTAAAGGTTAATTTGACGAACGTTCAAGAGGGCTCGGGGCTGTCGTTAGACGCTAACTGAAGTGGCTATATTAAAAATAATAAAAAACGAAACGAAAAATTTGTCTTATAATGGTTGGACTATTAGGGTTCGTTCACACTACAAGCAGAGCAGGGCGGCGCATAGTCCACAAATAAATATGCACTCTCTTAAACAGGGTCTATTTGTTAGACTAGGCGGCACAGAGAAGAACAGAGAAGTGTGTAAGCGAAGAGCACGGTCAGTCGTTCACACATGGGCATCACAGGACATCATTCGTTGTGTTGAATTTCCTGTGTGCGTTCCTATGACTTCTTTACCTTGCAAATTGAACAGTGTCGCCCCTTTTCCACTCGCGATCTAAACAGTACTATGTACATTGAAAACTGTAACAAAATATCTGAGATTGCCCGAATTTCTAACATAGTTATGAGAAAAAATGCTCATCCTTTGGCTCCGCCACTGATGGCATTAATATGCCTACACAGTCATAGTCTTCATCTTTTTACAGAAACCTAACAGTAATGCATCTTTTGAGCACGCATAATGCGACTTGCAAGTTTCCCAGATATTCATATACCGTTGTACAAAAGTGTTTCATAACCAACATTTAATGGTAATTCACGACTACTGTTACACTACTTTAAAAGTACAAAACTAGAATATGTTTCACACTTTGCATTGTTGTAGGCTATAAACAAAAGTGTATAAAATGGAAGCAATCATACAAACAAGCAGTAACAATATTTTACCTCAAAATGCTCCCATAGCAGTGAATTTTGAGCTGAAAGAAAGTAACACAGATAACGGTTGTTTTCCAGGCCATTACAAAAGATAAACAAATCGCTTGAACCTTATTTAGGACAGTTAGTTACACTGACCTCATTTTTTAACTTATATCACCATAGAATTATATATAGAACTATGATAGAAGTCTGGACATCAGAGACTACACGATGCTCTACTTACGTCATACAATTAACAAAAGACTATAAATGTAGGGACAGATTCGCCGTCCCTTTGACCAATCGTACTTTAGTCTCAGAAACGGAAATGTTTTACCTAAGGTAATCAGTAATAGTGTTCGCAGCTCATCGCCGAAAATTGAGCCTTCAAATCCACTTGTGTCCAGAATTATCCACGTTTGAAAGTCAAAAAGACGGGTCGGCTTTTTTGAGACACTGCCATAAATGGAAAGATATCTATAGCCTGTAAATTTGAAAAGAAATTCCTAGTTTTAGAAATTTTTGAAGGAATTGTGGCATTTTCATACATTTCTAGTACTTCTGAAGATTATTTACATATATTCAAGACTCAAATCAACCCCCACCCCAACCCCCCAAAAGTGGCGCCTCGGTCCCTTTAAAGGTTTAATGGAAAGTCTCAAGAGATCGGAGTATATGAAATCAAATCATATCAGATATTCTCGGTGTCCTTGCTTGAATTTGATAACAAAATGGATCGGCCTGATTTTATATCTCTGTTCTGTTTACTCTGTTTGTTTACAGGTTTACAAAGTAGCTCTGTACAATTAACAGAGGCTTCCTGCGATTATAGCACCTTTAAGCGCGTTGATAATTTTAATATTTCGAAGGTAAGCGATTAATTTGTTTTTTGTTTTTTTAGAATTTTCATCATGTTTTCGCATAAATATGCTGATATTGCATTTGTTTACCACGGGTAGGGCCAGATATGGGGCTAGTTGTTCGGCTGATACCAGCTTTGAATATAAAATATCCGGATAAGCAAAAGCAATGCATATTAGAAAAGCTGTATCGAAATGGATGTTGAATTTCCAATGTTAAAATAATTTTTCTAATATTTTTTTTATGTGTATCGAAGACACTGATAGCATCAATTTGCACCATTTCAATTTTCAAATCAAACGTCTGTGATTCCTGCAATTCCATTAAAAAAGTATTTGATGACGTCACTAATTACGAAGAGTCTTATGTGATAAAGCATATTTAGCTAGTAGATACATAATCAAACACTTCTTTTTGATAAATTGCAGGAACCACAGATGTCTGTCTAAAAATTGGAGTGGTACACATTGATGCTATTAGTGTCCCAATACACATCATTATTTTTAGAAAACCTCTTTACAATCCCTTTAAGACTTAAGATTTGAAACGTACGAGGAGAAAAAGAACTAGTTCACCGAACAAAAGCCTTGTTTTTTGTAAGTGGTATTTCTATGTATGAAGTAGAGGGAACGGGAAGGGGTCATATAATAGATAAAACAGTTTCAAGCCGTACTATCGGGGGCATTATTTACTTTCCATTTGGCTTGAGATTTGATTATGAATAATTTCTTTGGTCTAAATTAGGTATTGGTTTACTTGTATATTTGCTTTCTCAACAAATAAGAGGTCAATCCCAACTTCCCGTAACTCTTTTCAGAATAAAAATTAGGATTTTTAACATTTCAGTTTTTAGGGGTATGGCATGAAATCAAATATGTTTTGAGTTTTACGGAAGAGCCAGGGACTGAGTGGACCGATTTTGAGTTACATTTTAAAGAAGATGGTGGGCATATAACAGATAACATTATAGCCAGGTCAGATTATTCAAACGGTCTTCCGCGAAAGCATTCCGTAATCCTCGGAGGTTTCCGTAAAGCTGAATCTGTTGCTGAGCGCCATTCGGCTATTCTCGACAGTTTCCGTAAAGCTGAATCTGTTGCAGAGCGCCATTCGGCTATTCTCAACAGTTTCCGTGAAGCATAATATGTTGCAGAGCGCCATTCGGCTATTCTCGACAGTTTCCGTAAAGCTTAATCTGTTGCAGAGCGCCATTCGGCTATTCTCGACAGTTTCCGTAAAGCTTAATCTGTTGCAGAGCGCCATTCGGCTATTCTCAACAGTTTCCGCAAAGCTGAATCTGTTGCAGAGCGCCATTCGGCTATTCTCGACAGTTTCCGTAAAGCTAAATCTGTTGCAGAGCGCTAGCGTAACTGTCACGGTAGGCCGTTTAGTTCCGCGGACGCTAGATAAAGCTTTACGAAAACTGCCCAATGCAGATCTGACATATCTATGGTCAATTACACCTCCCCACCCCCGTAACCAGGCACACACGCATTTATCTTAGTCTCTGACACCCAGGCTTCTGATGCATTTGTAGCAGCTATGCGCAGACAAAATCGGACTGAATGACAGATGGTACTTTATATAGGCTTCTCATTAATTTTCATTTTTTGCAGAAATGGATCAGGAATCTGTATTTATCATCAAGACAAAATTCAACCTAAATCATTTGGCTGGACACAGCCTATAGAAGGTAAGATAGCATCAGTATTGAAGTGAAAATCAAGCCATCTTAATGCTTAAGATCCGTTCTTTTCTGTGGGTCTCTTGCAGCCCTCAAACCCCCAGCTTTTAGGGGCTTCGGCCCTTGCCTCGGAGAGAAAACTCCCCCCCCCCCCTCCACCTCTGTCATTTTCTACATATGCTCTGTTGGCTCGATTATACTTGTCATAACTTAATTTTTAGGCCAATCCGTCGATCGTGATTGGATCGTCTTCGACACCGATTATACCAGCTATGCCTTCTTGTATGGTTGTTGGACTGGAAATACGACCACGTGTGTCGATGGACGAATATGGATTATCAGTAGGACACAGAAAATGTCTCAAGAACGCCTGGATCAAGCTCAGGCAATGGCGGAAGCAGTGTGTATGACGCCTTTAAAAACTACTAAGTTTGTTAAAAGTAAGTGTCTATTGCATGATTTAAAGGGATTGTAAAGAAGTTTTCTAAATTTGTCATGAGTATCGCAGCACGCTGAAAGCATCCATTCCAATATTCAATCAAGACAACTGTGGTTCATGCAATTCCACTAACACCAAGCTTCTTTTGACGATACATATGAAAGATTCAGATGCACATAATAAGTTTAGAAAATCTCCTTACAACCCCTTTAAATTTGAAAGAGGCAGTTCTCTAAATTTCCATCATACATTTCCAATGATTAAACTTGCAAGTAACATTATTAAAAGCACAGTTTTATCTAGGCTAACTAATTAGACGACGTAAGAGTAAGTAGTTGCAACCCACCTTTCAAAGCTGGTCATGGTCTTTGATCTGCTTTACGGAAGCTGCCCAATCGCTGACTCAGCGCCACTTGTTTAACTGTTTCTTGATAAGAGACAGACCCGACAAATTCTCTCGTCGATTAGAGGTCGAATAACTAATAAACATTAATCACACAGTGATTTAAGATCATTTGACTCAAGCCGTAAGAGTGAACGGTGTTTAAAACCAAAAGTCCTTAATTAATAAGTAACAATTAATTCCATGGGTTGAAATAAACTTAAGATTTATAAGTAAGCACTAATCACTTTAAACACATTTTGTATTAAAGTGAACTCTTAAAATGAACAATGAAGGCCATGATTACGGTAGATTTAATTCATCTTATTATTTTTTTCAGGCTGTCCAGCGGGTAAGTTTGGAATAATTTCAGTAGGATATCAAAGGTAAAGAGCTGGCTTGTTATTCGTGACTCCCCATTCTCAACTTCGTTCTGCCTTTCAGAAACTGCATAATTAAGGTTAATATTACTGCGCACTATACTCGCAAATATACGATATGTTTCCATGTTTCAAATCTACCATCTTCACAATGTAAAGCTACTACGAACTTACACCTTGACTGCAATAGCCAATTTCCTTGTATCATCAAATACAACAATTTGATTGGATTACGCCAGCAAATACAATCAATCAAGGTCTTAGACGCAGTTCGTGAAGATGGCTACCTACTAATGTATTCCATATTTTTCAGAGCCTGGTATAAATGGCGCGGGTCCTCTATCAAGTATAACAATGGTGGTGTATGTTAGCCTACTGTATTTCCTTACCTATCTTTAATACACCACTGGTAACTATTTATTTATTTTAGAGGACACGAAGCTGAAAAACTTCCTTTACCGTATAATTGCGAATATAACGCGCATCCTTTTTTACCTCCAGGAAACGTCATGTCATAATGTTCAGAATAAAATGTTAAATGGAAAAGAAGGAGTGTACCACAAATGGAAAAACAATCAAAAAATCTTAAAGCTAAATAACAATAAAGTTGGTTTATGAGTGAATCTAGAATAATAAATATTACAATAAACTTTTAACAAGGGCAATAATTCATAGTTGATCTTAAATAGACATTAATATCCAGCCTGAAATTAGTAGAGTTTGCATAATATCAAAACTACTGGAAGTTTAAGACTATCATCTTTTCAGAGTTTTTCAAATTAAATTTTGTAAGCAAATGCCTAAATATCTGATGTAACAGACATCAACACCCCTGATTGTGTAAATGAACTCTTCCAAGTATGCATACACTGTATCTCATGGATTAAAAGAATGCATGCACGGAAGAGTTCATTCAAAGTTTAAGGGGTGTCAATGTAGGTCTACATCAGAAAATGTCATGGATCTACTCTACTTGAATCTCAAATTTGTTGAATATTCATTCTACCCCATAGATTTTATAATAATTCCAATATTTTAAATTTTAAAGGAGAAAAGGCACAATCAAGCAGAAATTTGTGCAGTACTCAATTTCTAATGGTGTTGCAGTCAAATAAACAGGCTTGCAGGCATTGAAGCTTGGAACTGTGCAGCTTGCTGTCTCAAGGGGGCTTGAGTCAATTTGATATCCACCCCTTGATCAATAAGCTCATAAGTTTAAGTCTAGATGACAACACTCTAAATTAGCAGACATATTCTTAAATTTCTTGGAAGAATACGAATTTGGTATTTGATTTAAATTAAGATATATGATTGGTGTAATTAGAGATATTTAGAGTGCTTCAGAGTGCGTTCTAACTCTAATAAGGTTAATGCTCTATTTTCCAGAGCTAATATGGTTCAGTCTCTCTTGTCCAGACTAAGGTTTCGACTCTCTTGTCTGGACCTGGTAAGGTTTAGACTCTATTTTCCAGACCCAATAAAGTGTTTGTCCATTATGAAATAAATAAGATGTAATAAATAAAAGCACTAAATAACCAAGTCTATCTCGTTTTTCCAGTTGGTTTACTGGTCGTGGCTTTTTTAGGTATTCTGGTTTGTGTTTGAGCTGAAAATGAAAATATCAAATGATTTTAACCCTTTTTAACCCTTTGAACACAAAGTGTGAGACATTAATATGACCTATCTTTAACACCACGTATTGCGTTAACATTTTGTGACAACACAAAATAAATGAAAAGTTTGCATGTAAAACACTGAGTCAAGGCCTTTTTAAACATTTTGCCTAAGATAACAAAGGATTTTTCCATTTCCGTCTTTTTAAATCAATTGCTTAAAAAACCAAGGGACCTCTCCAAAATTCTGCCATAATCAACTCCTGGAGTAAACCTACCGGCTGGCTGTTTGCTGAATAAGAGTTCTCTTCGACTATTTTGTTTACATCCATCTTTAGATAGCAGATGATTCTTCCAGTTCTCATCCCCCAGGGGAATGTTTAGATGACACAGGGGACAGTGGGTCATGTTGGATTTTGCCGCTAAAATATACAGCAAGAGATCATGGTTTACTTCAACAGAAAATACAGAGAAAGACACAAAAATCAATGTTCGCGAGGATTCTTTCTACTAGCTTGTCCTCAGCGAAACCTCTTAGCATTGATCTTTCCCTGATTATCTACAGCTGGGCAAAATGGAATATTGTGGTCTTATGATAATCAAGACTTATTAAGAGTTATATCCCTTGAGAGGCAGGTGAATAGCCTAAGAAAGAAACAAGGTTGCAGTTCAATTTGTTTAGTAGGCTGCAACACTTACAGAGCTTAAATTGAACGCTGTCAGCTTGTGAAGCAATCATTTAGGCAACTACATCCCTTTCCCTGATCAAAAACAGAGCTGAATTGAGCTGCATAGATCTAGTTATGTAAATGTATAGATTACTCCATCCATTTACAGATAAAAACTTACGTGTACAAGATTTGTTTTTCACGTGTGAATCATATTCTTTTTTAGGTATGGCTTCTGTACATCTGGAACATTTTTTAAAGTTGCCCTTGTCTTGACATTCGTTCAGTAGATGATCGGTATAACTTACAATTTCTACCACCTGAATATTATAATACATTCATACATCAGTCATAAGTTGTCATCTCAAGTCATAATCCACTGACACTGATAAACTCTTTGGAGCAGTGTAGATCCTGGCGAATTTTACTGAGTAGGGTGCGAACACAGAGTAAACGTGATGGGAGATGGTCCCTTCAGATTTGATTAAGACCTGGTCTGACATGGTATAATTGACAAAAGCTGTATCTCAGCAACACATGTTCTGGATATTCAATATTCATCAGGACAGCCAGTTTAGGAAATGAGAAGCTTACCTGTCGACAGGTATTACAACGTTTCAACAAGGGACAATTCTTCCAGTAATGGACGTCCAGTCCTTCCTCAGTGAACGCTGGGTTTCTTTCATCACAGAATATACACACACTAGAATCAAAATATTGACCATTATATAATATATAGAAAGAGGTAGTACTGAGACACAGATAACAGTATCATTGAATTGTAGATGAACTGGACATCATTCTAAAAAGTACTACAGGAAGCTGAAATCCAGCTCTACCAGCTCTTAACAATTGTATGCATTTTAGACGGAGCACTTTGAACTGAAAGCCTAATTACTATTATTGGCTGAATGAACAAACTCAGTCTCTGCACGTTTTCAAGAGTTAGCATGCTCTGCCTTCAGATCTACCACAGTAACTATTGCAGTGGAGCCATAACCAAATAGAATTTGACCTGTACATACTTATCAATGTTAAAATCTTCTTCTGGAGTAGAAGGTTTACCAGGTGGATTGGCTGCTTTACCTTTGGGAGTTTTTCCTCCTTTCTTCTACAAATTAATAAATAAAAAATGATTAAAAAAACATGAAAAAAAAAATTAAAATTAATATAAATAAATCATTAAATAAATACACGAAAAAAAAAAATCTGAATTTATAGTGCAGGGTATTACAAAAGTTTTAACTGGCTTAACCCCCATGTCTTCCACCCTCCAAAATAATTGGAAATAAAACTGATTCTAACCTTGTCTTTAGCAGGTTGAATATTCTTTTTATTCTTAGAATCATTCAGAACGTTTTCATCAATGGGCTGAAATACGGAAAACATTTTAATCTAAAACGAAAAAACACAGAAAAAAATATTTTGAGATTCAAATTTTTTTGCGAATACAAGTTTGTTTTAGAGATATACGATGAATAAAATACTAATTCTGACTTGAATATGGTAAAAATGAAAACTTTAGCATTAAATACATGTTCAAACAAAGTGATGGGCATATCACCATGAACAATACAACTGATCAATATAGATATACATCCAGAATAATTCTATAATATTTCATGGTGATTGACATAACAAATGTTAAAGGTTTACGATAGCTGTAACAAAACTTTGAAAAGCGTAAAAAAAATATGTCAAAACATGTGACAAGCATTTAAGTCAGCTACAACATTTATCAGGGTTACCGAACATGACTCGATGCTACGTCAAATCACAGTCCTGCACGTCTTAGCTGCACGTACTTGCTACTTAATATTCATGACGTACTCATAATAGTAAGGAACAAGTGGCTCTACTGAAAGACTTCAAATGAAGTACGTTAATCTGTACAAGCAAGAAAAACAAAACTCGCGTCCAAAGAATGACAAAGTCAGGAGTAAAGGATGTATAGTATACTTTTTAAATGTAATTTGACAAAGAACAACATATGAAGTGTGAACAAATAAACAATATGTGCTATTTTGTGATTAAGAATGTGTTAAAATATCGACAGAATCAAATCAAACCTTGTCTTCCACCAACTGAAAAATCAAATTCCATCTGATTGTGAAAATTAAAAATTGGATTCTTTTCAAACCAAATGTTTAAATGCTTGATGAAGTACAACATTCCAGAGGATATTATATTTTTTCATGTATGGTAAAACTTATTCCTGTAACCACCAAAATATAATGAAATGGAGATTCACGACCTACTTCTCTGTATCTGATTGGCTAATACAGACAGTAACGTCATAGAAGAAACTAGAAGCAAATATACAAGATACAGGCACAATTCAGACATTATTCGCGTCTTCTGTTTTTTACTGTAGTGATAAACCTTCATCCTATGCCTCCCTAAACACATTACATTAACCTAACAGTGAAGATGGATGTGCCAAAGTGATACAAATGTGTTACATTTCTAAGACTCTAATTGTGTTTGTACTGCACATGGACTATGTGCTAATGCAAATTCTGCATCAGTCTATGATAGTGAGAAAGCTGAAACAAGATAGACACAAGGCTACAGTGCAGTATCTACATACAAGTCGTGAATTGTCTGAAACCTCAAGACTCTAATCTGATTGGTTAATACTGAAACTGAGCTAACCAATCAGAATGATTTTAATTATCTAGTTATGATTTTAGATGTTTCTGCCCTGAATTACCAAATCCACAATATTTGATATTATGTTAGTGCAACTTTTTATCTCACAAGGCAAGACTTTAGGCACAGAGCAAGAGAACATTAGTGCAGAGTCTAGTAATCTAAGAACACGCATCTCAACGACAACAAAGTAATAATTACATAGGTATTGCCCAGACCATGACCTGCTGATTTGAATTGTGGTGCTATGGGTTCAATGCCGTGATTAGAATTATAATAAGATATGTGATTGATATCGTGATCGAAGTTGCCTTCGTGATCCGTCGTGATACTCTCCTCTTCTATATCCTGGTTCGAAAGCTTGTAAGGTAGAAAACTTATGGTAAATCGAGATGGAATTAAATGACAGTAGAAAATATTCGTTTTTATTGCAATACCATTATCTTATAACTTTTAAGATGCAGAAGTTCTTGCAGAAAAGTTTCAATATCGAAAGAAACTGAGTCTACTTACTGCTTTCCCAGATTGCATGTCTTTCAACTGTTGTAACTGTTTCTGTAGAGCTTCTATTTCAGCTTGTTTCTCACTTTCTTTTTTAGCTTCAGATCTCTAAATAATAAAAAAAAGTTGACATTTCACAGACACCATATTGTAAAATATAAAAATAAGTTGATATTTCACAGACACCATATTGTCAAAATATACATCTTCTGATTGTAAGACAAAAGTCTTTTATAACACAATATCACTGACAGGCGAAAACAAAATTTAGCAGTTGGCAAAACCAAGACACCAAATTGTTAAGAAGTTGGCAAAACCAAGACACAAAATTGTGAAACTCAAACAAGTCCTGGCCTTCCTCTTATATAATCTTTCGTAAATACATATCACTGTGAATAATGCATAGCCCATAAACATGAACTTCTTTTTTTTAAAGTTGGCAAAACATAGACATCATAATTTCGAAAAAATTATAGCCTTACCCTAACATCATCTTTTGTAGGTTTACCATCAACTTTATCAAAGTATTCAAACAGTTGTCTCCAGAGAGTAATTTTTCTGGATCTGTCATCATCAGGTGGGAGGTAGTCTTTTACTGGGGGACCTACATCTTTATATAACATTTTAATAATTCTCTCAGCTGGGTCACGAACATCGGCAGAATGGTGGTTTAAGACCTCCACACAAAATGGCATCAGATTTTCAACTGTCAAACCACTGAAAGACAAAGGAAAACATACCAAATATGTAATCTTTAACTATGTAAACTCTCCAAAGTTCACAAAGCCAGATTGCAGTGCCTCACCATATGCACTTGTCAAAAAAAAATTAAGATATGTTGGGCAAATTGGTCAAATTTGGTATTGAGTTATTAAGAAATAAATTAAACGAACTATATTACCTTTGCGAACTCTTTAGCAATTAGCAATTTTACGTAGTTATGAATATTAAGAGAAGACAACAAGTTGAAAAGCTCCATTAGAGAGTGATACCAAGTGTATATCAGCTAATCAACTTACCTATTTCTAAGACCATGATCTTTATACAGGGCCTCCACAATCTCCACATGACTCTGTCCAATTCTTGGAGCTATCGTCATTTTAAATGGTTTTACTAACTCATGGGGTACAATATGTGTGGGCTGTAAAAAACCAATTCCATTAAAATAATAGAAGAAAAATCAGACTTCAACAAAAGGAGCTGGAGATTTTTTCATGAGATTCTAGATGGGCAGAGATAGCTGTTCACCAATTTGTCATCTGCATTTCAAGGATATTCTCCTTACAGAAAATTTAATTTGTAAGTTTTCCTAAAAAACAATATCTTTTTCTAAACTGTTACCTTGACATCAGCAAAGTTGGCTGTTTCCAGAATAAATGACTTGGCATCATCTCGATTTCTTGCAGTCTGGAGAAAAAATAAGAAAATTTACTTAAATGGATGGTAAAGGAGTTAACTACACTTTTTATGTGCATCAGGAATACTGATAAGACTCAATTATTACACTTTTTCCATGTGACAGCCTATGGAAACCAAGTATTACCTTAACCTATGCAGGGAATAAACCCTGAACAATTATATTTAAGAAGAACTCACTGAGCCATTGTGGTCCCACCACAAGAGATGGTGCTCTCAATTTTGTTATAAAAATGTTAAAACTCACTGTATCTCCTGCTTTATGTAATAGATTAGGCATTGTTCTTTCTACAGCTGTAGTAATATCACTCTTTGGTATCCTGAAATAAAAACAGTGTTGATTGGTTAGAATGTTTCATGATGTCATGGGGTCAAAGTTCAATGAGTGTTTCACATGAATTATAACTATATCAGGTCTACTATGAATGACAAGGTCTGCAGAAGAACCCCAAGAATACAATCTAATCCTTTATACATGTATGTTTTATCCAGATGTCTTGATGCTGTGTCTGAAACATACATTGGCCAGTAATTGGTGAAAAGGTTATACTAGTACATTGAAAGCTGATGATTATAAATTCTGACTTACTTGAATTGAGACACAAATTCAGTTAATATCATGCGTAATAGATGAATTGCTGCTTTAAAAACCTGGAAAAGTCAAGAGGAATAACTCAGAATTTCTTGGATTTATAAGATAAAGAAGACACTTTTACCTTTATAGACTGGTGTTTTTCTCTTTAACTTTGTGGTCTGTCTATATTTAACTATCAAAGAGTTGCTTCCCTTGTAGTCATTAAGAGTTATTTACCCTTGTCAACTGACAGATAGAGTAGGATTGATTGCCTTAAGTTTGAAAGTAGACACAATATCTATTTATTATAAGTTTTCAAAACCAAAATACTCACTGCATATACTTTATCATCAATGGCTCTCTTGACGAGGAAAATGGCTGCCCTCATCATATAACGAGCTTCATCCTTCGGTGTAGAGGGAGATAACTCTGTCATCCTCTTATATACGGCTAATAAAGCATCTTCTCGATATGACCAGGTTTTAGAGTAAGCTTTGGATACCTGAAACATACATTATTGAATATCAATGCTAGAAAAGCTTTGTTCTATTGTTCAGCATCTAACTAAACTCATTGGCTGAAAGCGAAAGCTTAAAGATTCCTTGTGGTTTTATCAATTTTGGTTGGAAAATGGACAGTGCAAGAACTCTCACAATTCTCAGTTTAACAAACTGTATCAATTACATATTCAAGATAGATCAATATGCAAATAGGTCTACTCTAATCCTCTAAATGTTCATACATACCAACGGTTCTCCAAAAACTTCAATAGGTTGTGAGGCATCTCGTAAATCTTTTTCTGTCATTGGTTCAGCTTCTCCTGTAATAGACAGATTAACTATTTCAATATACCCATTTCTAATACCAAAACACAACATTATCTCTAGTTGCTGGCACTTCTTTATGGTACAATGTCCATCATCATAGTCTACATCACCCAGTCCTCCATTATCAAAGGCAAGGGGAAGGGAAGTTATAAATCTTACCTATAGTGTCATCATAGTCCTCATCACCCAGTCCTCCTGTATCAACTACCACAACTTCTTCCTCTTCTTCAGCCATATAAACTGGAGCATGTCTACAATATCAAATATAGACCTAGCTAATTCATGTCAGCATGGCTAACTTGATTGGAAGTTGGTCACAATCACCCATGAAACTCTGAAAACTTAGCCAACATTCCATGCTAATGAAACAGGATAAGCTGTATCTTCTGAAATTCTTGATGCCATTTTGCATTTGTGCTTGTCAACTCTTTTGGAGAGCCTGCCCTACTAATAACTTCTATCTGTTTGTCCCATGTCTGACTAACTTATTCTGTATCTGTTTGTCCCATGTATGACTAACTTACTTTGTATCTGTCTAATGTCTGACTAACTTACTCTGTATCTGTTTGTCTAGTGTCTGACTAACTTACTCTGTATCTGTTTGTCCCATGTCTGACTAACTTACTCTGTATCTGTCTAATGTCTGACTAACTTACTCTGTTTCTGTTTGTCTAGTGCCTGACTGACTTACTCTGTATCTGTCTAATGTCTAACTTACTCTGTATCTGTCTAGTGCCTGCCTGACTAACTTACTCTGTATCTGTTGGCTGATCATCAGCTAGAGCTGATTGTTTGTGTTGATGAACTGGTAAAGGCCGATCTTCGTACGGGGTTACAGGTTTAGCAGGGGGATCTACTACTACACTAGCTGGACTGGGTTTACTATCTTTATTTTTAGGTCTAATAAATAATATAGCAGGGTTAGTAAATCTAGTTGTAATATCAAATCCAGTCCATTCTAAAAGGAATACTGCCTATTTTTGATGGAATTTTCATAGAAATTTCACCAAATATGGAGCGAAAAAATAAGGATCATCCTTTTGGTGAAATTTAAGGATTTTTCATAGACACATAGGATCATCCTTTGAAAATTAAGGATATTCCACAAACTGACTGTCAAATTGAGTGTTAGGTGATGTGCATATAGTCATCAAAATATAATCTTTCCCAAATCCCAATGCAGATGAGCAGATAATCTGTTTTTCAATCTAAGAATAAACTTAAGTTGGAATTGACTGGATTTGAGAAATAATTTACAGAAAGCAGATGATATAAAATACTACATTAATAAGTTCCTACTTATTCTACTACTACTAATTCTGACTAAAAATATAAAAGTCTGTATCATAGCATCAAAGGCTTAAAATCATAAATTTTTGTTAGTATCAACCTCAGCAAATCCAAAGAGAGTGTAATATTGCTCTAATTGGTTTCACTCTCCCACAATTCATCATTGTTATCAACAAACTGGACTGCAGTTGAAAACCAATGAAGAGAGATATATAACATACTATATATTTTCACTATTCTAAAGTATAAAAATATATCGTTATAAAAACTTACGCTAGAGAGGGTAGTGGTCTGTCATCGTAACGAGGTGGTGTTTGTGGTGGAGTTGTATGATAAAGGTTATCCAATAAACGAGGTGGGGTCGGCTGGCGTATTGGTTCTACAAAATATTAAACAGTATATTCTTATGAATATATAATCATCACAATCAATAAACTGGTGCTAAAAGGGACTGTAAAGACGTTTTCTATTGGGGTCACTGAAAGCATCAATTTGTACCATTCCAATTTTCAGTCAGATGTCTGTGGTTCCTCTAAAATTAAGCATTTCTAACACCACTAACCCAAAAGGTCTGTTGATATACAAGGACCTTCGGAATAGTGATGTCATAAAACACATAGTATATAGAATGAAATTGAGTTTAAAGTTCTACTTTAAATCAGAAATATTTTCATGTCTTCTACATATCTCGGTCAATATCTACCGTAATTCAAAACGTACCTAAATCTATTACAACTGGATGTCGGGACTGAAAAAAAGAAAAATTGAGAAAATAATATCTAAGTTCGAATAACATTGGCACATCTCAAGACATACGAGAACACAGGCTTTGTCATGTCACCCTCAAATATAGAACTTTGAACTTAAGTGTTTCGAAACACCTTGTGGAATTTTTCGTTAGAGGAGTCCACCACTAAACAATTATTGCTCTCGATTTTGTCATGCTTTGGAAGAGATATTTGGATACTAGAATTGTTTTGCTCATATAAATTTTAAAGTTGGAAATTCAAAAATCTTCACACTTACCCCAGAAAGTTCTAGTAGATCATTAACATGGAAGTCTTTATAGCTCTGTAGCCTCAATTCGTCCATTTTGATTTTCTTAATTTGAGCGTTATCATAATCTTCATTTTCTACTGCTTGTCGTTTCTCAATCTCCATTTTTCCTAGTTTTTCTCCAATCTGGTAAAAGAAACGATCCGATTAATTAATTTTTATTGAATTAAGAGCAGTGTATATAGGCAAAGCTTTTTTTGGCCCTCGGACCATAAAAAAAATTCCAAATTATTCCACCACCACTTCCAATATTGCAATAGATGTATTCTGCAGCATCTCAGGGAGAGGCCACCATGACTAGTGCCCTCTACTTATTTTTTTTGCCCCCCTCCCCTCAGGCATTTTCTAGATACGCACCAGTAAATATTGTAATTAACTTACTGTTTGTAGTTCAGAAATAGCAATCTTTAACTTCTTCGCATAATCATATCGTTCTTCTGTAAATATAAAACATACAATTTCAAAATCTGTTAATGAATTATAGTTTTCAAATTTTATATTACAACTTTGTTTCTTAAATTTTTTCTCCATTGTATCTATCATCTCTACCTAGTTTCTTACTACAGTTCTGTTCAAATCATGCTATTTTTAACCAATCAAAGCATGTCACGTAGGACTCATTATTGAAAGCATACCAAGACTTGTGGGATAGTCTACCCAAAGTACGGCAATATGGCAGTCTATTTGTGCTCGACTGGAAACAGATTGCACAATGTAACACTAACAATAAAAAATTTCAGTTCAGCTACTCACGTAACACTGCTTCTTGTTTTTTACGTTCAAGTTTTCTAATGATTTGAGCTATTTCTGGATCTTGGTACATATCAAATGCCAAGTCGTCTAACGGTGAAATATAATCAGGTCTGAAAATACGATAGATTTTATTTGTTTTATACATTGGACAAATAATTTCTCTGCCATCTTCAATCTATCCCTTGGCAAACGATTGAAAATTCCAAATTGCACAAGATCATTAAAGCAATGAGAATAAAGACCATTTAATCTGCTGTTAAACACAAATATCTTCACTTTAAACCTTTCATCTTAGCTCAAATATTTAGTTAGTCAAATTCCAAGATTCTCATGAATTTTTTGTGAGTTATAATATTCTGACTCAGATATATAACAAATTGAAAAAATAAAAATATAAGTTAGATTAAGCTAAATATATATTAAAATATAAATCCTTGAAAAAAAAAAAAGAGAAAAAAGATTATTAGCAACATTAACTCTAACTCTGAAATTGAAAATATTTCGATTTCAAGAATTTTCTAGAATGTTATTTTTTTTTTAAATTCTAAATTGAAAAATTCTGTAATAAAAAGTTACATTGTTAGAAATCTGATACTACTAAAAAAAAATTATTATTAAAAAGGACTATTGTTTGGGCATTTGCCGTATAAAACTATTGAAAATATTGCAAATATTAAAACAGTAGCTATAGGGATTGTCATTAAAAGATCATAACTTGAAAATAATAGGAAAAAAGATCTTTGATTGGTCATTATCTGTACAATAACTTCACTATCAACCAATCAAATCGTTAGAAATCTTTTTAAATTACAATTATAAGTTATGAAGCTTCAGCAACATGACCTAACCCTGTAAGCTATCTTAGTACTACCCTGTTCTCCATACTTACAAAAATACAAAGTCTGGTTTTAATGGTTGGGATTCATAATATTCTCTACAATCAGATTTTACGGTGTTATTTACAGAATAACAAGGGATTATTAAAATCAGAATAACAGGGGGAGAATTTTCAAATCAACTAAGTTTTTGAAGCTTTTAAGATAATGACTTCATAAGGCAAATAGTTTTAGCTGAATTGCACAAACCACAGACATCTGACTGAATATTAGAATTCTGCAAAACGATGCTATCAGTGTCCTTGATATACATACAAAGTTTAGAAAATCTCTTAACAATCCCTTTGGAATTCAAAGTGCATGCTTATCAAATCTATTACGAATTTGATCCCTAAATGATGACTTACTTATTGATATAACCATCAACAACAGGGTCTTTCATACTGTCATCTTTTTTATCACCCAGTATCAAAAAATCCTGCAAAAAAGTATAAATAACAACTATCATCCAACACGTTTTTTTACTTGAGGAGAACCTAAAGTCAGATTTCAATTCTGAAAGGTGATACAGATGGCTGAATAAAAGCTATTATCCAGTTAACACATAAATATATACCATAAACTATAAAAATAACGAATTTACATTTGAAAAGCATTTCATTCATATACTAAAATTCAAAATCTTGCAAGCACAAAAGAATTTGCAGTGCTTTGTTTATTATGATCATTTGACGCTAATAAAAATAAGGCAAATAATAAAGCCAACCTACAGGATCCATTATATCAATTTTTCTTGGTTCCACATTTTCACCAATCACATTTATTGCTATTAATCCAACCTAGAAAATATCTTTACAATAAACTATGCACAGAAAATATAAGTATATATTAGTACTGTCTAAAAAAAATGAAAAGAAATTATGTTGATGTGAATTTTATAAATCCAAAACATGCCTTAGCAGCATGAAATGAGCTTAAGATAACTTAGGTTCACTAGGATCATGTCGAATAGCTGATCCTAGGCAAAACCTTTTTGCATTGAACTTTCCCCGATCATCTGTAACCATTTACAGCTGGGTTGACGGTGCTACAGATCTCTGAAATACAACTCTGATTCTATTTTATTATTCATAAAGAACAAACCTGGTTATATAGATTGTACTTATTAATGTGATTCTTATGTACATTTAATTTCAGAAACACACCATGGGCGTCGACGTGGACAGATTTCAACTCCCTCGCCTTGTATCCCGTCTTTTCGTTGTCTGATAGAGCTACATAACTGAAAAATAAAACAGGGTTTAATAAGATTTGTACTCCTCCAGATTTTTCTTTTTTTTTTATTCAAATAGCAAAAGTGAGTCAATTCATAATTCGCTTAAATCAGAATATATTACCTCGACCAATGTTAGGATTGGACCATCAGATTGGCAAGCAAGCATTAAACTCATTGAGCCACTGCGACTCAAGTCCATCAACAATGTTTTATTTGAATGATAATATTTACCCTAGTCTGGTATATCTGGCGTTTTCTAACGTTGGTTTTATTCCATCTGGTACATCACCCACAAAAAACTCAATCTTGGTGGCTGAAGCAGAGAATAATTAATGATAGATAGGTTCAAAAGTTGAGATTTGAACCATTTTTTGTAAGGATAACAACTAAGGTTCACAAGGATCCTTTGTACCAGCTGGTCCTTGGCATTGATGTTTAGCGATGATAAACCTATACGCTAAACCAGATTACCGCTGCCTGACATATTATTATTAGTATTAGTATGACAAAACTGGCAAATAGATTTAAATCAAGAACTCAGATAACACTTACATATAAGATATTGATGAGCTAAAATTTGAATTTTCCGTAATCTGGATCGAAAATTTAACTGGATCACAATATCTTGTGGATACAAACAAAATCTGAAAAATATTTAAAATATCATGACCATTGATCAGTCATATTAAGTTGGGGCAGGTATAAGTATAGGGCTCTTAAGGTTCTTATATGAAAAAAAAAATCTACCAAAATCCAAATAAACTGCACTCATAAGGATACCTGTGCTAAAATAATGAGATGAGCTCCTGTAAATTAAAGATGTTCAGCTTGAAGCTCTGAGTAACATGTTTCAGGTTCTGTTTCAACAGGTCAGTTAACGTAAATGCATTAAGTTATATTTCAAGTCCAAGTTTTCTACTTAAAATACCTTACCTTGATGATTGCCAACCCTTGGTTAACGGACCATGAGTATTTAATTCACTGGCTTTATAATTATCATCCTGACCAGACACATGTATCACACGAAATGGAAGTTTGTACGGCATCTTTGGTTATTATTAGGTAATCTGAAGAAAAAAAACAGGTTCCATTTAAGTTGCAGGTATTACAAGTATCATTATATTCCTGATGATGGTGTGAGAACCAAATTGAAACTTGAAAGTTATAATTATTCTTGAAGTATCTATCCATTATAATAGTCTTATTTATCAATAACTTGTGCTTGAAAATATGCCATTGAAAGATTATGTATTACACTGTTTACCTATGTATGGTATATGAAAATTTCAAATTGGCAAATTTCATTGCTCTTTGTGGCATCTGTCATGTAAGTGCATTAGTAAAAAAGTGTATTTGACATTGTCATCTATTTAGAAAGTTTCCAAATTCCCTTATAATGATTCCATTTTGAGAAGCCAACGCGTAGAGATCCATAAGACTTAGCGGGGGATTTTCAACATTATTGTGTCCCTTTAAAAACTAATGAGAATACTACTTTCCTTTAACTCTAAAACTAGCTTATCTATAGCCAAGAATTTGTTCTCGTCATCCTTAAGCTAGAGTCTATAATGAATCAATAAAATAAACAGGATAAAAAACTTATCTATTTATTGAAAAGTGGCCTGGCCTTATCTAAATATTGACATTTTTCAAGTAACTTGGATCAATAGATTGTAAAAACATCATCAACTCTATAGAGTCTTCAAATAGCACTAGCATTTACCAATTTGAAGTACAATATATACTGCTCAGGATGACAGGAGAAACACATTGCCTTGAACTATATTCATCAAGTGATAATCAATGTTATATTGGAACTGTTTATATAAAATATAATATGTGCCCATTCTTTTAATTTATTAACTTTTTATGGGTTAAAGGGATTGTAAAGAGGTCTATGTAAATTTGTTATATATGTGTATCAAGGACACTGATAGCATCAATTTGGACCATTCCGATTTTCAATCAGACCTCTGTGGTTCCTGCAAATCCACTCAAACTAAGTGTTTGATGATGTCAGTAATTCCAAAATGTTTATATCACAAAAGGCCCTTTGTGGTAACTTTAATTAATATAGCAACCCTTCACTTCAATCTGTAAACATAATGTATCACCTTTTTATCATAATCACTTTTCAGACTTTTTAGACTGATAATTTGTTGTCATCCTAAACCCGAAGAACCCGTCTCAATGACAATTTAAATAAATATTTCAAAAGTTTCCCTTTCAAAAGAAAATATCAGCAACAAAGTATTTGAAACAATTTGATAAATTTTTAATTGTTTGATGATTTGAATGACTGAATTCTGTGCCCCAAGGGAATTACACTGAAAGAACTATAAAAACTATGATGACATAATTATTGATTTATCAATTCCTCTTACAGCAATTAGTCCTGTTGATACAAGAGCTATTAAGCTAACTAGTTCTCAAAGCTCTTGACGGATGCAGCTCTATCAGTTGGGTCATTTTGAATGTCAAATTCTTTATTCCTTTTTCATATTTTACCAAATATTCATTGCATAAATAAAATCAGGGGCAAACTGAACAGCTTTGGCCCTCAGACTATTAGGTTTGCTAGTGTCCCCACCCCCAATTTTTTGAAGTCATAATCAATGCATCCTGAATTTCTTGTCAGTTTGTGCTGAGGGGCATTAATTATTCTGAAGATTTTAACAGCACAATGGACAATTTCCTCTATAATAAAGCTTTGGTTAAGATTAATTACTTGTTTGCCTCTAAATGTTTGTCATTTGTCACAGAAAACCAAGTGCCACAAAGTTTCGGACTAACAACAGTAAGAAACAGACAGCCAAGAAAGTGACAACATGCCCATTCATGATTCCCTTTCTCAAACTAACACTTCAAAAATTGCAGACTAAATATGACAGCCTTCTAACCGATTACTCTAAATAGCAAAATAACTAAATTTTATTATAAACTTACGTAAATGTCACAGACACATTTGAAAATTTAAATCATTGAGGAATTTGTGATTCTTGACAACTGAATACACAGCTTCCAAATATTTCATTGGTCTAAAAGTTGTCACGCTGCTTCGAGAAAAATTGAGATGTCAAATTTATTCCAAAAACTTTATTTTTGCAAAAAATGTGGATCTAATTTCGTTAAATAGCCATGGCTGATATAGAAATTATGAAAAATCATGAAAAAATTTCAAATTTTAGTTGAAAAATTGTAAACATTTGTACGCCATCACGTGATGTCTAAGACAAAATGGCGGCAAATTAAAACTGGTTTCGTGTTCCTTAGAAATGTTGAGGCGGTTGATTGAGCTTTTCACCAGTGGAATGAAAGCTTACAAAGTGCAAGATGTCAGACGAACTGCAAGGTATGGAGTGACTGCCAAGAATTTTAAAGAACTGATAACAAAAGGATGTGAAAAGCTCAAGGTTTGTATTTGAAAATGAGGGAGGTGGGGGATTTAACCCAAAAGATCTTCAAGAAATCATACACAAGGTAGTCTTTGAAGGTAGATCTACTGTAAAATTTTAAATAAAGATGACCCAGCTCTGTTTTCGAATCAGTCATGCGTTTTAAGTCCTACTTTTCTGCAGAGGATTGGTCTAATGGCAACACAGAAGGGCAATGAGGGAAATTTTGTCAGGACAATGACTCTTTTCAGATTTTCAGCATACACATACTAATAAGTTTTGTATTTGAGCACTATTTTAAATCTTAATATAATTATCCATACACTCTGCATTATTTATATATTTCTAGTTCAAAGTAGAAGAAGTGACAGTAGTAGTGGAAGATGATGGTACAATAGTTGACTCAGATTCTTTCTTTAAAAAACTTCCACCACAAACTGTTTTCATATTTCTTAAACCAGGAGAAAGATGGAAAGGAGGTTGGTTTTTTAACATCTTTAGCTATGTTATTAAGTAGAGCATTGACTAACACTCCTCAATTCACAGTCAGAAACACTGCTGCACAGCCCCTGCAATTTGACCCCCACCTATGCTAAATACTGCACATCTCATTAGCCTTAGCTGTAAGCATTTTACTAATTTCAAGTCACAAAAATAAGTATTGTGTTTGGTCATTTGGGAGTCTTGTGAGAGAGGGTTTTGTTTTTTCTTCTGAAACACCTGATTATGACTCTTGCAGTGTTTTTTTTTTTTCATCTATAAGCATCTCTTCCAGAAATTCAGTACAACTAATAAAGTTATTTTAAGTTAATTCAGGATCATAACATTTTTAAGAATTTTTTTTCGGTTAATTATGTTATAACAAACAAATACGAATGTTTATATTTCAGCTGGAGCGTTGATCTATGATGCATTAAGAAAATTACTAGATTGTACGAAGAAGACTGAATTAGCAGATCAGATTCGAGAGTTTATGGGGGACGATGATGCCCCAGATAAAATCCACGTTATGTCGAGTTATATCGAGATGTTGGAAACTAACGTAGATTCTGAAAGCAGATACGAAGATGAGGATTGGTTTGAAGGTGAGGAATTTTAAGTGTCAAGAAATGACAAAGATTAGAACCCATGAAAACCATTATTCTTCAAGATACTACTGGGCTGACGAAACTAATATTTTCGTAAATCAAATTAGTCCAACTTTCATTTCTATTCATAAGTTAGTAGATAAGAAATTTAGGTAATCTTTTTTAAATGTTTGTTCCCATTTTATAAGCTTTCAAGATTCAAAAGTTGAAGATAAAATTTTTCTTATACTTGATTAGAAGTGTGATAATATATCTGTGTTATTACAGGTATCAACAAGAAATATAAAACTAAAAGTGAATTGATGAGAAATAGTGCTCAAACAAGAATTAGAAGTTATTATAATACAGTATGTATCAGTTAGTTTCGTATAAATAATTAACCCTGTGAATGCACCTGTAGTTATTAACCCATAAACCTGTAGCAGCTGAAGCGTTAGGGCAACAGATAAATGCAAAATATTCCAATTATGTAAGAAGTAATGATATGTCTATAATTTCAGGCAAAAGATCAAGTCGAGAAAGAAACGAGTGGAAAAGAAAGGGAACTATTGTTAGAACTCATTGAGGAAGTTTATAATGAATTAAAAGATAACGACTTTCATGGACAATATTTTGATCGTACGGCTCCGGCTAAAAAAAGATTGTGTGACAATAAAGGATGGTTTAAATGTCAAGGAGCGTTCGATTTAGAACGATGTGCACTACTTCATACAATAAATCCCTACGCCTCGCGAGGATATCGGCAGTTATTTGGTTTATGGAATTTGGATCACGTGTAAGTTTTTGTCTTTCACATTTTTATTCAAATTTTACAAATATTGTGTGGAAACTTAACATAAAGAAGGAATAGTCCATTTTGTTATAACCATACCCTTTATCAATTATTAGATGGGAACCTGGTTCACTTTATAAAAAGAGCTTAGTGATTTGACATTATATTAAGTGAAGAGGCTGGTCCAAAATCTTAATCAAATCTACAATTTTGCTATTTGGTTTTTTAGGATAGAAAAATCAAGAGTGGTGATACCAACTTTAATAGAGGCGGCCAAGAAAAAACCTAAATACCATGATTTAAACTGGAAATATCTATATAGTCTCTTATTTACACCAGACAATCTGAAATTAGTACAAGTTGCCTGTCATAAAAAATCTGCTCGGGAAGTCAGTATCAAATGGGAAAATTTTTGTGTAAAATGAAATTCTGATGCCCTTGCTTGCCCTAGGGAAGACCAATGGGTAGATTTCTGCATTAAATGAAAAGAATTTCAGCGTCGAGTGCTAACGATTTTGAGATTTACGTCTAGGATTTTTAAATCACTTTTGTGAAGTCAGTATTACATGGGAAAGTTTTTTTGCGTAAAATAACTTTTGGTGCCTTGGTTTTTAATTCATTTTTGTGGGAATCTCCATGAGTTTAGAATTCCAGATATTCCACATTTGAGACAACTTTTATCAGTTTCATAGATCAAAATTTTATTTTGTTTTTAAATAATGTATCTTTCATGAGTTTTATGAATTTTTTTTCCTAAAGAAAGTAATATTTTTTAAATAACAATGAATATATCATGTGCTAACCATATCTTTAATCCATCATTTTATATTTTTATACTGGTCTTTTGTTAATAAAATTATTGTTAATATTTGAAGTATTCATTTCAGTTTGTATATTGGAGGATTGGGGAGCCTTAAACAGTAGGTAGCTATCTCAAAGGCCCTTAGATATTAAGCACTGTTTGTGATAGTGACATCATACATGATCTAAGGAATCATCCTCTAATGAAGAATCTAAAAAAAAAATAAGTTAATAAAATTTTTATTAATCATCTGAACCCTCATGTTTCTTTTTATGTTTTTTCTTTTTCTTACAATTTGTTGTTTTAATTTCACTGTCTTTATCTTTCAACTTTTTCTTTTTTGGTTTAACGACCTCTTCCTCGACGGAGCTTTCATCCGATAACTCTGTTTCAGCACTATGCTTTCTTTTCTTTTTCCTTTTTTTGGGCTTTTCATTTTCGGATGTTTCCAAAATGTCACTCTCACATAAGTTTGTGTCTTTCTTTTTCTTTCTTTTTGACAATTTTCTTTCAGACTTATCCTCAATTTCATTTTCACTCAAATTTTGCTCATTGTGTTTATTTTTCTTCTTTTTATGTTTTTTCAACTTGACGTCTGCTTCCTGATTTTCACAAAATTCTCCGCCATTTTCCAAATCCCTTTCTGATGAATCTCTATTCCTTTCTTTGCTTTTTTTCTTTTTCTTTGATTTTTTGCGGGCAGAAGTCATTTCTTCATCAATGTGGCCATTTTCTAACTCACAGGGTTCTGATTGTTCATTTATATTTTCAATACATTCCTTGGCATCTTTCCGAGATTTCTGTTCAGTGCATGAATAATCAGATTGGAAATTTCTAGAAACGAAACTGGCTAAAAAGAAGCCATTAGTCATGTGATTAGCTGTATTCAGACGGATACAAAAATCAGAACAATCGTAACCCTCCTTTCCTCGTTCTTTCCATTCCGGCAAAATATTTTCCAATTCAAAGCTGTCGCCAAATTTTCTCAAAACTTCATCCACCACTCTTTCATTTTCCTCTTCGTGAATGGAACACGTTGAATAAACAACACGATGTACCGAATGAAACGTGAGAGCGTGTTGTAACAACAAGGATTGAAAGTTACTCAATTTACGCAGCCTCTTTTTGGTAATTGAATGATCGTCGTCTGTTAGGTCATTTCTTCGTTCAGCAATACCTGAAAATATTGACAAAGAAATTAAATCAAATCCATTATTATTATTAGCTATGTGGATCCCGCAGGTACAATGGAATGCCCAAAAAAGGGCAAAATTTGTCTTAAACCTTGACATTAAAAGGCACTTTTCTTGTATCATGAATTGATTGTGAAAAGAGCAAGAGTCCTCTACAGATTTACAGAAGAAAATGGACTTATACACAATAAAAATATTCAAGAAAAGTGCCTAATAATGTCAAGGTATCAGACAGACTTTGTTATACCTTAACATTGTGAAGATGAGATTTTTATAAATCCTTAAGTATAATCAGACAGCAAAATTTATTTTGAATCCTTACCAGAGCCACTACAAGAAGGATCAACTAGAATATATTCTACATCTTCACAGCCCTTGATACTAGGGTTTATCTTCATAAAGTCATTACATCTAATAGTTGTATTCTCTACACCAGCTTTCTCTATAAATTCTTCTAATGTCTTTATTCTCTCTTTACTCAAATCAAATGCTGAGATGCTCCTATAAATATAACAAGACAATCATAGTTTCCCCCCTAGTAACAGGCCTGACTACGCCTAAATTCTGAATAAACCTATCAGTCCACAATACATTTATCCGTCCATGTACAATCATAGTAGTATCAGTGCATCATGGGATTTTATTTTTTCAAATCAATATCAAGGTGATAATAGCTCCAACCAATTCAATCAGGGTCAACCTTACATGTAATATCCCATATCAATGTGAGTGATTTTCAATAATGCCCGAAAGACCTAGACTATAGTCACTTTTATATGGTCTCTTTGATATTCTCCAAGTAGGACGTATAACTGTTCAAAGGTCAACCTACCCTGTGTTATTCATAATGGCAGCCAGATGTGTTGTTTTATTGCCTGGTGCAGCACAACTATCTATCACCTTACTCCCTTCTACTGGGTTCAAAACATACGCAGGAAAACAGCTAGCCTAGAAAAAATAACAAAAACTTCTTCAGATTTCAAATTTCATAAGACAGGGCCTTATTTCTCAAAAAATCTATGAATGATTTAAAAAAAATCAGGGCTTTGGCTTGTTGCTGGTTTCCAAACCAAACTATTTTGCTTGTAGGATACACAATTTCTGATATCGCCAATCTAATGAGTTCACAAGTCAATTTTCACATATCTAATCTCAATCAAGGGTAATAACTGGAAAATTATTCATCATAAATTTGAAAAAGGTCTTTCTAAATCGAATCAAATTTGTGGTCTTTAGGTTTTTATCACTGTCGAAGAAAAAATAAAAGGACAACCTACTTTATCTTGAAGTATAATGGCACCAGACTGGTTTAAATAATGAGAATGGAAGTCAGTTCTTGGAGGAAACACCAAGAGATTTGGAATATCAGGATCTTCTACAAATTCTTCTTCATTTAAATTCTTCAGTGCCTCGTAATAGCTGAAATTAAAAATTGTGATACAAGAATTATATGCAAAACAGTTCTACCAACCACATAATTACTTGATATATACCCAAGAGGCTGGTAAAGTAGCCATTACCAAATGGCGTCGCACATCTTAAGTCACCATATTACTTGGAGTTAAATGTATTAGTGTTTTATTTCATTAACACTTAGAGTTCAAAGGGTAAAATTAAATAAGCTTACTCACTTATCTGAGTCAATGAGATCATTTCGTAATATCCAGCCTTCATTTTGAAATCTTTCCACTATTTCTTCTTTTGTTGATTTTAGCGTATTGACTCTGATATATCTAGGTAGACCTGGTAAAATAAATTGTATGTATCACAGCTCCACTTTCGAGGGGACACAATCCTATTATGATTCCTTTAAGACATGTCACAGGATTCTTAATTGTGTTTTTCAAATGAAACAATCCCATAATTTGTATACAACCGGAGTAAACTGACTTAAAATCAAAGACAAAATTTGCAATCAATTTATCAATGACCATTACATTTCAACAGAATGTTTCTGGAAAAAGAAAGTTTATTGTAGTAATTTCAGTGAGTGTAATGAAACCATTTTCATCCCATGGGTTTACTTGGCTAGAAACTCAAACTTACAAACTGAGTTCTTTGTCTTTTTAGCTTCTGGTATTTCATTATTTTCTTTCAACTTGTTGAACGATGATAAAACCACTCTTTTATGTTTCGTTATCAAAGACTGAAATAAAATAATATCAGATCAAATGTAGTTTTACACCCTATAGCTCTGTATGTCTACGTTATTAGAGTATAAATAATTATGAATCACACAAGTTTTATTAAGTCCTTATGTTTTTTTTTTGTTATAGTAAGATAAAGGGCACCACAAGACTGTCAAAAGTTGACATTTTACACTCATATGTCCTATATGATAAATTAATGGACAACACCATGCAGTGTACAATGAGTGAAATTTTGATTGCACAACAAGTTACAGTAGGACTTACACATACCCTAATTAACCCTAATAAGCTGTTATGTTTTAAATCTAAATACTTTATCTACAAAGGGTTAATAGACACCACCCTGCAGTGTACAATGAGGGAAATTTAACTGCACCAGTAATACGACTTGTACATACCCTAATTCTGCCAGCTTTTCCAAGACCTTTACCATACAGGAAATCATAGAGTAGAGTGATAGCAAGATATCTTAATTCTAAAGGATCTGTGGTTTCCGTAGTGAACAGCTGATTGGACGTTTCTTCGTTCCAGCCATACAATGTTAATAATTCTGTATCTTCCAAGATCAGCGTTAAAATCTTCTGATGTTTAAGGGTTTCACAAACCAACGCGAACAATTTTCTTTTATCCTAAAAAATGAAATGAAATAGTGTTTTACACCCATCATTTGTGCTCCTGATTGGGCTACAATACCAATGAAAGAGCTATTAAATTGAATTAAGGGTATAAAGAAATAGGTGTTTATTAGATTCATCTAAGCATAATTTTTTTTCAAGGAACTTGGAAACGTGTGAGGTGTCTGTGGAAAATCACGAATTTCAGACACCACTTTAAAGATACTCGCGGAAAGGTGGAAAATTATAGACACCGCCCTGAAAAGCATGTGTTTTTTGGTTTGATTGCAAGATTATCGACATCAAAACGATTTAAAGGTTACCTTTTCAGAACTTGAATACACCAATGTTTTCAACGTTCCCTTCTTTAAAAGTGCTTCCTTCAATACTCGTGCCGCTGTCAAGTAAACACTCATTTTGCTGAAAATAAACAAACGTGTTCATTGAAGTAGATTGAGTCTGGATAATTATGACTATATGATCATTTACGTCTGGACATAAAGGACTTGAGAAGGATTGATTAAACTGCAATGTACCAAAATATTGATAAAGAAGGGTGTGCTTACTCTTCTTAACTATAGATTGTATTTGAAGGCGTACCCAAGGCTGTATTATTTGTCTTCTAGTGAACTTATGTAGTTTTCCCGGTTTTAGAAATATCAAGCGTGTTGTTCTTAAAGGTCAAGGACATTAGGACAAGTCAAGGTCTTTACGAGGTCAAAGGTTACATCTCATGTGGTTTTCATAAGAGAAAATGGCTAATTTTCTGCCTGGTGGTGCCGAGGAATTTGACGATGAAGATGACTTCTTTATGGATGATGACGATATTAAAGAAGTCAATAGCTTTGACCAACCAAGATCCAGTCCAAGCAAACAAAATATTGCTCCTGAAAACGCTGACAAATCGGTACGATTGTACTTTCAATTTTGTTTACATGTTTTCAGAAAGTGAAAGTAAACATGTGTAAACAAATGTACACAAACATAATAATAACCAAAACTTTCTGTCCGAGAAGGGAGAACTGAGATATCTTTGCTAAGGTCACTCATAGGGTCTGATCTTGTTCACAGCCACAGGCTCTTACAGCCTGTCAAGAAAATCAAAGTCATTCCGTATTCGTATTCTTTTCAAAATCTGTGTAATGTAAGGTCTCTGTCAATGTCATGCAAAAGTTGATTGTTTAGATTAATTGATTATATGTTTTTCAGAAAAGCAGTAGTCCATTCCGTGTAAAATTAACAGTGGAAGACTTGAGAGTGGCAGCCATCAGAAATAATGTTGAAAAGTTAAAACGGTGTTTACAACAAGGTAGTTCGCGTCATATTCATTCATCTAGATAAACCTAATCCTATCAGGGACATGCAGTTGACCTAGCTGTAGCCTAAATGCGTAAAGATAACTGAACAAAGATCAATGCCCAAAGGTTTGGTCAAGGACCAGCCAGTAGAAAGGATCCTTGCGAACCTAAATTGTTATCGTTTATGAAAAGATGGTTTCTTTTTTCTTTCTTTTAAGCTGCATGGACTCCATCTTTGTCATGCTCTTAGATCTCTTCTTGGCAATCAAATTTGGCTTTATAAATATTTACTTTTTTGTGTGTGTGTTTTCCAGGATTTCCAGTAGATGCAATTCTCACATCTGGCTGGTCTGTTCTGATGTATGCTGCCAATTCTTCAAACCCAGATTCTGTGGCTTTTCTTCTGGAAAATGGCGCTGATCCCAACTTTGAAACCAGTAAGTTACTTGACTTCATTTTATACTTTATTTAAGAATGATTTTGAGTTATGCGATTTTCTTAAAAGGAGAGCAGATATCAGCTTATAATACATAAGTTGTGATTCTACAACAAATTTGTTGTTATGGTGAATTTAAGTTAAGAGAGTAATAATTCTTTATAAACTTCTTTTAGTTAAAAACTTTTTCAAAATTCCCATCCACTATGATACAGTTCAAAATATATCTTGCACATTTTTTTCCGGTTAGATAAATACTCAGTATTAATGGCTGCCTGTAGTTCTAACCAGCCTGCTGATGAAGTGTTTGAATGTGTTAGATTGTTGGTAGAAAAGGGAGCACAGATTAATGACTATGATAGGTAAGGCAAGAAGGACTAAACCTTTTACGCAAATGACTGATAAAAAGAGGAAATGTTTCCCTAAATTTCACGTCGAATTTGAATCCTTTTTGGGATTCCGAAAAGGGATACTGACAGATTAACTGGAGCTCTACAAACAGGTTAAGCCAGAATTCTTTTGATCGAAAATCAAAGTCACTAACAAGAAACAAGCTCCAAAAAGAGGTGTTTTTTTTCCTTTCCAGATATCATATATCACCCCTAATATCAGCTGCTAGAGAAGGACAAGTAGAAGTGGTAAAATATCTGTTAGATAATGGAGCTACCATCAATAAACAAGATACAAGAGGGTGGAGTGTAAGTACTGTATAATTGCAAATATAAATAATGCACGCTTACTCTCAAATAAATCTGGACAAATATCAGTCAAATCACAGCCCATTATTAAATATTGACCACTTACAAAATAGGATTTTTTGGCACTTTTCCCCACAAAAAAAAGTGCTTAGAACTCACTTCTATGTACATTGGGGGAGAGCTAGAGAAGCATCAAGTCCAAAAAACCGGGTTTCATCGATTTCCAAGACCCAAAAAATTGGATTTTGGCACCACAAGTAGCTACCTGTTGAATTTTGCTGATTATAAATATTATTTTGCTCATATTCCCAAAGTCCTACAAAGTATTGTAAACCTAATCTCTATTTCAAAAACTGGCTGTCCTGATGAGGATTTTGTATCCAAAGTATGTGAGAAGAACAAAGGATCTCGAATGAATAAAATTACAGTTTAGATTTATCATTGTAGGCATTATCATGGGCAACCCATCGTAACCAAGTAAAAGTGGTGAAGCTATTACTAAATGAAGGGTGTAACCAAGAATTAAAACATACAGATGGTTTGATGCCAGTGGATCTGGCAATAGGACAAGATAACCAAATAGTAAGCATCTTCACAATGTCAAGCTATTATGAACTGTGTCTAATACCTTGAGTGCAATAGCCACCTTTATTTGATCATGAAAGTATGAAAATGCAGAGATTTGGTTGTACGCTACTGAATACCGCAAATCAGAGCCCTTAATAGAATTGTAGATGAACCAGATCTTAGGTTTTTTATTCATAAAAGTGTTACAGATAGCTGAGAAATCTGTATGTATATTTGTTTGTTACTTAATGATGGGTTTGACTAAAATCTAAATATTGTAGTAATAAAAGATAGTTTCCTAGTAACCCTTTTTTAAAAAAATAAGTACCGGTATTTTTTGTAGTTAATAGATATATTAGAAGGAAAGAAACCAAGTGAAATGCCACAGACAAAAAATGAAACAAAACCTCAAATTAATGGAGGCAATGACAACACTCACAGTAATGGTTTTGACAGGTAGGCTCTTCGTTATATTTCTGGCTCCTAATCTGGACTTTTGTCCCTTTTTGTCTCTTATGCTGTATCTTTATTATTTTCTGCTATTCTGATATTTTCTTGAACTTTATAATTCCAGCGAGAGGAAGTTGGAGAATGGATCAGGAGATCATTCGAATTCTAAACCACCGCCTCGATTATCTAACGTTCGTGAGAGTGACTATACATTCAATACTTCGCCTAAAGTCTCGTTTAATTCAATTCGAGAAGCAATTGATCACAGTGACCGTAGTGACTCAAAAGAGCAAGAATCAAGTGACTCAAAAATCAAATCAGACAATTCTCTACCTTCATTACAAGTGAAATTGTCAGATTTTGTGAAATTTGGAGAACTAGAGTTATTTCTTCAAGGTTTAGGACTCAGTGATTTTGTAGAGTTGTTTCAACAGCAATATGTCAATTTTGAAACTTTTCTCTGTTTGAACGAAGAGGATCTCATTAATGTGAGTATAGAATATTGAATTTTAATGAATAATGAAAAATTGGTAAAGGGAGCTAATTGATATAATATCTACCCCTAAATATACTGGCTACCGTCTTTGCACTTTTTTTTGTGAATCAATTGTAAGATTTATTACCCCTATCACTTATAAGAAGTTAACAAGTTAAGCTGCTAAAGTGAAACTCGGTAAAAATATATAAATGTTGAAAAGACTATAGTAATAGATGCTTGGGTATATTTTACATAATTTTATTGCCAGTACAAGCTACAAGTGAAAGAGGTGCCAAGTTGACAAATCTAAATACCATTAGTGTCTGATTCAACTGCACCTCTTTTGTAACCACAGGACCAGACAAAGAGTAACATCAGGTGTTCTTAAAGATTTAGCTGTATCAATTATGTATTGTAGATGGGTATACAACAGTTGGGAGTTAGAAAGAAGATATTAGAAGGAATTCAGGCCGTACACAAGAGAGATTGGGAATCTAGTAGCCTAATATCACCACAGTATAAAACTAACATCAGGTACTGCTGTTTATAATCTGATTTCCCTCATTGCACACTGCATAGAATCAATATATAGGGTTGGAAATTGAAAAGACAGTTTAGTTAGATATCTGTAATTCCCCTGTGTACTTTCAGTATAGTTGATGCTGTTGCCATGGTTTCGAACCTATCAAGACATTTACTGTATATCAGTAGTTCGATAGTTTATATCAACGATCAAATCAAAAAAAATCCTCATCTACTTATTAATACTCAGGTGGGTACAGGTCATTTATGTTAGCAATGTGTTTTTTGGATATAGAATCCTTATCAGAAAAAACAAGCAAAGATACCTACTAACATCACAGTACAATGCTAACAATGAACACAAACCTTGGCCAGTTCTTAGGAGTTTTTAGGAACCTCTTCACTCATAGTACAAGCTTTCCATATTATTTTACCTTTCATTCTACCTGAAATTGAAGTAAACTGTTCATGTTACGTTTAAAATCGAACCATCCCCCACCCCCCACACCCTGCCAATATCTGAGGCTGGATTGACTTTTGCCCCCTCCCTTTTAAACTTCTTACTAAGGGAAGAGAATTGTCTGTGAATCCCATTTAATGCTGCTCCCCTCACCTATAGATTCCTAGATATACCACTACAGATATGCACAAATATTTTGATTGACTCTAATTTTTTTTTAGGGGAACATTGGTGCCAAACATTTAACTACACAAACAACAGACGCCTTACAGAGAGTTAATGATTTGAAAACACACATAAACACCTTAAATAAACGCCTGGAAAAGGTGAGTTATTAAAAAGACAACAACCCAAAAGCAGAGATGAATGAGGTGTCTGGGGACATGAGAATGCTTTGCCTCTCTAGCGACACCTTTATCACAAAGTGGAGCCAAAACAATGGTGTCCCTATTGACTTGACCCCCAATGAAATTGGGATGGTGCAAATATATGTGTCCCCAATACACATAAAAATTATAGAAAACATCTGTCGTCCCATTTAAGCATTCATTATATACAAATGTTTTAGTGGAAGACCCATAGACGTCTGATTGAAAATTGGAATGAATCAAATTGATGCTATCAGTGTCTCTGATACACATGAAAATTTAGAAAACCTTTTTACATTCCCTTTAAATCAATACATTTTGCCTTTTTGTTTCATGGATGCTATCTCAGCAATCTAAGCTGTGAATATATTTTTTCAGGAGATGAAGTTAATTGATGGTGAAGTACCAGATGTGATACAGAAGCGAAAAAATAAATCGGGAAGGGCTAGATATTTTAAAATACTCGTTGGTGTGATATTGGTACCCACTCTCGGTATATTAGTCTGGAAACACGACAATGTTAGTCATTTCATATCTCAGGGTATTGACAGAATTACTTCTAAATAGTGTAGAAAATGTTATACATTTATAGGAGTATTGAACACAGGGCCTTGAAGAAAATTGAACACGGAGCTTTGAGAAAGCATTGAATATTAATAAACAAAGGGCCTTGATGAAAATTGAACAATAATCAACATAGGTTCTAGAGAATTCAGGCCTTGAAGAAAATTGATCATGGACACAGGGCCTTGAGAAGATTATATAGTGTTTACATTGATCACAGAGCTTACCTCAAAATAGTTTTTGGTTTTCGTAGTAAAAAATCATAGTTTTTATGTGATTTTTTTAATTTCCTCCATAAGATAATAGGAAGCACTCCTGTTAATTGTAGCAGGATTTTTGTTTTATTAGTTATAAAATTATCTCACTTGTAGTTTACTTTCTTTCCTATTTGTCAAAAAAATCATACTTGTTTCTGAATGAGGCCTGTGACTGCTAGTAAAAGTTTATTCATCTATTAAAGGGATTGTAAAGAGATTTTCTATGTGACTAGGTAGTCACGATTGGTGACGTCATCAAACAGTTAGTTGTAGTGGAATTGCAGGAACCACAGACATCTGTTTAAAAATTGGAATATTGCAAATTGATGCTATTACTTTTCTCAATACACATACAAATTTTAGAAAACCATTTATAATCCCTTTAAGACAAAAAAAAATGGGTCAAATAATTTTTGACAATTCTACTGTCATTTTAAAGAAAAAAGCTTATCCACCATATCAATATATTTTAATGAATTCACTCTGAAGCTCTCTGAAATAAAGATAAAAAAAACACATTCTATCTTACATAATAATACTGTTCTGGTACAAGATAAATTATTTCATTCAATAAATATAATAACCTCAACTAAATGCATTGCAAACAACATTATCAAACTTGTTTGATAAATTAACATTATATAATCTTCAATATTATATACATACAATTATAACATTTTATGTACAAAATTTTAAAATAAGTATACAGAGTTTGGTCTTTTAAACAAAAGCAATAAATTCAGTCTTTAACTTCAACTAAATGCTTCACAAATAACATTATTATACTTGTGATGAAATATGATATGCAATTTGTGTATTATACAAATAAAGATATAAACAAAAATATGAAAAAAAACAATGAAATTAAAAGATAATTTAAATTCAAAAGCATGATACAATATTCAAAAAAAAGTGGAAAAAACCTTAAATTTTACATTTTTATATGAATTTCCTTAAAAATAGTATTAACAAATTTCATAATTAATAAATTCACTTCCAATTTCTATTAATTATATTTTTAATGAAAGGAACACGAAATCGTTTTTAGGCATGATCAACCATCTTCACAATTCTTTAATGGGTTGTATTAGATTGTATCCTCCTGTCTGATGAGTGTGTTGATTATGTTCTAGGAGCATTACCAATTCCTAGTACAGTTTTATAGCTTCCCATTCCATATTTACCAACTAGAATACAAAAAACATAATCAGTTAAGAGGAGAAAAATGTAGGAGGGGTGCAAGGACCCACCACTCCTGTACCTAACTCGCCAACCACTCAACGGGTCAACCTCAACCACACCCATAACTCAACCCACCAACCACTTAATCGAGCCAATCGTTCAGACCACTCCGGCACAACCGAACGCATCCAATTACTAATTACTCAGTCAGACCAAATATCCAACAGACCCGCTAATGAACTGCAATAGCAGTGCTGTCGTATCCCGAATACGGGTTATGACATTGTCCATAGTCTTTTTATGACGAATTGGGATTTGGTTTGGACAGATGTAACACCGCTCAGCCGAACCAATAAAAATTCCAACTTACAGTTTGTAGGATGAGGTTTTTCAATCAACCAGAATCTGAAGCCATCTCGAGCTCGTTGATTATAAACTGTTTTTAATGGTGGAAGATGTGTTCTATTGACTTGAGGTGTGGCTTCCATACTATAGAGATCACTAGATTTATAACTCTGTTGTTTGTGACTTTCTAGAGTTGTTGCTGGATCCCAAGACAGGGATACGACTGAAAATATAACATTGATATTGGGGAGGGTCATTTCTAAAGGGGCAGGGGGCAGGGCAGAACTGAGACTGACACAGAGCCCCAACTACTCTCGAATTTCTTAAGAGATCGCAACTCATCTTGTGCCTGCCTATTCATAGAAAGATTGTGGTAATATCACCTTATTCGACAATGGACAATTTGTGTGGTAACTTTTCTAATTCTGCTCATCAAAATTTTAAGCTGACAAATGTGTCGGGTGTAAAAACTATAACCTAAGGTCTAATATGTAGAATTTATCCGAGACAATGGGTTCTTTGTATGAAATGTAATGAAAGTTTTACCTCCAGGAGAATCTTGATGAAGGTTGTTCATTTCAGAGTCTTCACATATATTATTCTGAAAAAGATAAGTAATATCAACTATTATTTTCCTGTCTTATCGATATATTTTATATCTGAAACACATTCAGAGCCAGAGCTGGATGATATTTTGAGATTTAATCAATATCAGCTATAATCTCAAGAAGGCTCTTGAGGATTCCTTTTCCTCGGTTATTTTAATGTGGATCTGTATACCCGGAAAAACAATTTCACTTCAATTTCTGGCCTATCTTCAGAGCTGATAGTCGTACTTCGGTCTCCATAACCTTCAACTTGATAACGAATAAAGCTATTAAAGAAATTTCACTCAGTAAAAGAAATCAAGGCTGTATTTACAGGTGCATATTGAAGTACTTTTAATCGATTTTTGGTATTCAATTAGTCCCAAGTCCTGCGCATATATACACAATATTTTTTATTCATTCTAATTCATATACTATACTACTTTACCTATCATATATACATGTAGACATAACCAACGCGATCATTTTATGCCTTATGAATACCGAATATAGAATTTTTAAATGTTCGTGTAATGGCCCGCGACAATCTTTGTATATATGCATCAGATATTCGTACTATTTAAAGAGAAATAGACGTCAGAGCTCAATTTCAATCTGTATCACTTTTCATAAATAGCATCTTACGTTCAATGTTTATATGGTTAAAAAGTAGTATAGAGTTTGCATTAAGAGTTGAGATCAATTACAGTTATCTACGTATCATTTTTATGATAGTCATCTAAGTGTTTGCATCAACTGAGCTCAATTTGAGCCAACTGTAACACTTTTTATTTATAAAATATACGTTCAGTTCGCCTACAATTCGAAAGTGCGCCGTTGGACATTTGCTATTACAAACCATAAAAACTAGATATATGCAATAGTAGTACTATGAGAAATTATTGTCCCAAAAAGTGCTGAAAGAAGTAAAACTCCATTTCATTGAAATTTGTGTCCTTCTACGCTCCCTTTAAACTTTGGAAATCTACACTGAATCCCTTACAAGACATTTCGCCGCCGACGGGAGTAAAATTACCGTAACAATCTTTAACGAGGTGTAAAACAGCTTAATCCTGTAAACCTTTTGTAAATCTTGATTAATCCCGGATTAATTGAGATCAGCCCCTGATTAGTCAAAATAAAAAGGGCAATAAATCTATTGTTGAAATTGTCCCCTACTAATATTCAATTATTTTTTTATATCTATCGATAGTATATCAATTACAGAACCCACGCAGCCCTATTTGTTAACTCCTTGTTCTCTGTTAGATTAGTTTACTTGGCTATGGAAGGAAAACGTTGTCAAAATCTTTCCAAAATTTGAGAGTGACACCATGTTACACTCTGTTCTTTCTGTGAAATATTATTTCCAGACTATGGAAGGGGAACTGAGTAAAAACTTGGTTCCTCTTGTTTTGATATGCAACCAACGTTGGTTATTTGTTCAGCCCTTGTTCTCTATGAGGTTAGTTAACTAGGCTATGGTAGGGGAACTGAGTCAAAAACTGTCTGAAATTTGAGATCTATGTTCACCCCTTGTTCTAGTTAAGATTAGTTAAATAAACTATAGATGGCGAAATATGTAAAAATCGGCCGCCATCGCTTGTTCTCTATGAGATAAGTTTACTTGACTATGGGAGAGGAACTGGGCCAGAACCTGTCTTCTTAATCCTTTGCTCTTGTTGATCGGATTACCAAACTATGGTTCAAGACAAACTATGTAAAATTCACCCCGTTGTTCTATGTGAGATTCGTTTACTAAAGTATAGCGGATGAATTGAACCAGAATATGACTACAAATGTGTGTACCCGTTGTTCTTTCTGGTACAAGGAAGTCCTTCTAGTTCCAAACTTACGCAAATTGTTGTATCTCGTAGAAGGCTAGGTCTAACATAACCAGGTCTGGTATATTTACCTTTAGTCGTAATTTGGCCCAGTGATCTGTTTTAGTCTTCTGTTTCCTCATTGGTGTTGGCTTTGACCAAAACGACATGCTGAAAAATACAGTATTAATATACAGTCTACATGCACGATTTTTGTCCTGAAAAGGGATACTGTTAGATAAGTTTATTTATAAATATCCATTCCTTTAGTTTGGGGTCGAAGGCTTTTTTGTCGTATCGCCATCACTATCAGCATCAGAATACTTCAATTGGAAGAAAACAATCGGAAATTTCTTTAAAACAAAAAACGCACGAACAAATTCAAATTTTCATTTTGAAAGGCTTACCTGTGTAGTGTTTGATTAAACGATATGAATGGAATAACAAATAATGAGAGATGAACAAAAGTTGAAAAATGGCTGACTACGTCTATGACGTCACAATTATGCCTACTCTGACGTATTTCGATAAGCGGATAACTTAATTTTCGTTCAATACTCTTAAGCCTGCATTTTACATTACGCCTACGCCATCAACATTTTTCAAGAAATGAAACCTATTTGACATGACATTTTAAAATTTGAATTTGTATAAAATCTTCGCAAATAAAAGATATATGGATGGGCGGAGGGGTGGGGGGAAGGGGTACATCAAACATTTTCCCACATAGTTGATCTCAAAAAGATCTCTCTTAAAAAAAAGTGTAACTTACGTTGTCATCCTTGGTGTAGGTGGAATTGCTCCTGACATTCTGTTGAGTTCTCCAGGTAAAGAATAGTTTCAGTTGCAGATGAATTGGTCAGTGCAGACTGTATTAGATATTGACCCTAATTAAATACAAATTATGATTAATTAATACACAGTCTTATCAATATTTCTCTTTGATGTACCGCCTTCATCATAATTAATACTGGTATTGGACCTCTGACATGAAATTCATGTGTAATAATTCTCTTATCTTATATGCGCTTGTTGAAAAATATATACTGGGAAATATGCGTTTATGCGGAGAGCGCTATATGTTATGCCGTATCCAGCCGAGTTAGTTATGTGACAAGTGCGTCAGAGCAAAGTCCACATTTTCACATTTTCTCCAGAGCTTATAGTGCTCCGGGCTGTATCCATGAGGTTCCAAGCTGTGTACGGTATAGATCTCTCGACAGTTGGAAATCGAAAAAGAGTAGGCTATGCCGCTGTTCCCCCAATATACACTGCATGGTGTTGCCCGTCTTCATTAGGTCATTAGGTGCAACAGAGCAAGATGTATATATACACAGAATGGTATACGTTACATTTTAAATGTATGCTATATACGTACCTTGCAGTATTGTCACAAAGCCTATCAACCAGTGAAATGAAATGTAAATAAAATCAAATAATATAGTCGGATATAGGATTAAGATTAGTATCCATGACGCCGGGTAATATCTACTGTATCTCTATGTTTAAAAGACTTTGGATTAGATCTATAGCCTAGATATTGGGGGTTTAAAGCCGACACCAGACCAACTTGCACAAGCATTGACCGAGTTGCCGAGTCGACCGACTTCCAGAAGCACTGGCCGACCGGCTGTGGCATCTGAATTTTTTCTTGTTGCATTAAGATTTTACTGACAATTAGGAGGATTCAACCTCACCTAGCAGACGACAATCTATCCTGGATAACAGGGAGTGAAAGCCTACATCGGGCCTGGGGAGAGGGTGGAGATATCTGGACTAGAATTAGAGTGGATATCCAGATATAGTGTAATGACAATGTCATCCAGACACGGTTAGAAAAACTAATCATGGAGTCTGAACTGGGTCATATAAGGTCTATAATAAGATAGTATAGGGGTTGGTTTGAACATTGGCATTTTCCTGAGTTAGGGTTGTCGGTCTTGCTAAAGAAATAAATTAACAGTAGTCTAGGTAATTCTTTTTAGGACAAAGTTATCTCCCTTGAATATGTTATACGAAAATAAACTTTAGCTAGCTCTATCTCTCGCCATCTTGGAATTTCAACACGAAGTTGGAGAAGTGCCACTCTGAATTACTAAAGACAATTCGAATGGCGGGCTTGCCGAGGAGAATTTTAAAGGTAGATGACATCAGGGCATTTTAATGCAAATAGAGTTTCATTTTGACTGTTACCTGGCGCTCGTAATTGATGTGATGTCAATTTTTATTTAGGGGAAACCGACAACAAAATTTCAAGCACTTTCTCATCAAACAAGGAAAAAGAAGCCATTGTTTCTATTTATTGTTATGTAATTGACCGGCGAATGAATTATATTGTCGGTCGTACTGAAAAGTTCCAACTCTTGGTAGAAATTTTCGTTAGAGTAGTCGACTACTGATAAGAAGCTGGATCAGACACAATTTCATCATTGTAGTCTACGTCTGTCTCCCTTTAAAATTCTTGATGATCCCAATCAATCCTATTAGTTTTCATTCCATTTGACAAGTAGCCTTGGCATAGCAGAGTTTATGACATAATTTTATGGCCAAGAATACAGATGATTCTAATTTCTCAAAGCCATGCAAGTGGGGTATTATGATAGAGCTCTCACCTTAAGAAGATGGAGAGCAAAATTTAACCAGATATAGAGAAGTAACTTCAGACTAATTTTGAAAATTGAATGTTAAATGTTAAAGGATTGGGGTTCATTTTATATCTTTAGACAGCTTGGCTTGGCATTTAATTGTGTAATATTTAGCTCTTATTGAATATTCTATTTCAATAATGGATTTGAATTCCAGGAAACACAGCGACTGATCCAGGAACCAGTGCCTGGTATTAGTGCGGTGCCTGATGAAAATAATGGTAGATATTTCCATGTTGTTATAAAGGGACCAGCAGAGGTATGCAGACTTCTTGATCTTTACACACTTAATTACTAACTAAATGCTTAGAAAGTTCCAAGTTTATACCAAGTTCCATGGCAAGTTTGGTTCATAAAATGACATATTATATCTACAACAATATTCTCTTGTGACATATCAGCCTTTGAGGCCACTACAATGATTGCTATTGTGAATGTCACTTCTGGGGTCAGGCAGGACATGGTCACACTTGTACTAGGCAACACCTGATGTCATTTTAAGATTGGGTTTGTGTATAAGACTCAAATAATTAAAGAATTTATTATTATTAAAATACTTCTTGGTTAGGGCTGGGTAATATGATTGACATAATCGATTATCGTCGCTAGGGATTTATAATTTCGATTATCGATTGTCAAATTTCATAATCTTATTATTAATTGAATTTTTCAGTCTCCATACCATTCAGGAATGTTTCAATTAGAATTATTTTTACCTGAAGAGTACCCAATGTCTGCTCCCAAAGTCAGATTTATGACGAAGATTTATCATCCCAATATAGATAAACTTGGTAGAATTTGTTTAGATATTCTTAAAGGTAGGGTAACTCTAGATATAACAATAAATAATTGGTACAACATTGAGACTTTTAGGGTCCCATTGAGTCTTTTCTATGGTCTCTTAGAGCCTTCTCAGGGTCTCCTATTTGATCCATATCAAGTTTATGACAAATTTTTGTTCTAAAAGGTGATACAGGACGCCCAAATTACATTGTCATAATAAAAATTGGAAGAATTTAAAGCAAGAAATCAAAAAAGAGAAGATGATTACGATTTATTTAATTTGATTCTTAGAAAAATGGAGTCCGGCACTACAAATCAGAACAGTACTTCTTTCCATCCAGGCATTATTGAGTGCCCCCAACCCTGATGACCCTTTAAGTAATGATGTAGCTGAACAGTGGAAGGCCAACGAACAGCTGGCATTAGAAACAGGTAAGATAAGATGATCATTCATCCAGGGACCTTATTTCCGAAAACTTGCCTTCAAAACATGTCAATACAGGTAAGAGGGATTGATATGGAAACAGCGTCTAGTCGTACGGATGGGACAATAAACCGAGGCCCCGTGTGGTACAGGCTGTGTACGTTAAAGATCCCTCGACATGTGGAAATCGAAAAAGATCAGGCTAATGCTCCTGTCCTGTCATTAGCCCACATGGTGCAGAAAACTAGGAAGTAAAACTCCATTCATTTCATGTCATGTCTAGTGGTTTTGTTAAGCCTCTCGACAAATTGGCATAGAACTGAAAACAATGGGTTTCATAATTGAATTCTATACATGTCAATTCTGGTGGTGAAGTTAGAATCAGAGGACTGTTACATGGGAATGAGTGTAAGGTAGTGGGTCCAAATGTTAACAAAGGAAACTGCCAGTTTTTTTAGACATATTAAGTAATGGAAAATCGGAATTTCTGCTAAAAGTAAACAAATTTCATTGGTTTTCAACCTCATTGAAATATATTTCTTGCGTTTTTCCAGCGAAAGAATGGACTCAGAAGTATGCTAAAGACAAAAAGAACAATATACAATGATAAAATGAACTTAGAGAAAGAAATACAATCAAGATATGATTTAAGATGATGTATAATATTCAAAGACAATTTTAGAATTTAAGTCACAAGACGACAACATGTTTGTTGCTGTAAGCCTGATGACATCGCTATGAATTTCAACATTCAATAACTACGGCTCAAAAATGGAAACAAACCTTGTCAAGATGGCTTTTATTATGTGTGTCTCCAGTTTATTGTGATCCATCAAGACTTGTACAGAATCCATTGTCCCCCTTGATCCACAGTGATCCACTTTTTCACATGAAAATTATTTAAAGGGATTGTAAAGAGGTTGTTTAAATTTTTTATGTGTATCAGGGACACTGTTAACATGAATTTGCACCATTCTAATTTTCAATCAGTTGTCTGTGGTTCCTGTGAATGACTTCACTAATTGCATAAAGCAAAAGCATATTTTGCAATTAGTGATGTCATCAAACACTTACTTTTTTGTGGAATTGCAGAAACCACAGACATCTTTTTGAAAATTGGAATGGTGGGAATTGATGTTATCAATGTCCCTTATACACATAATTTTTTTTAGAAAACATCTTTATAATCCCTTTAATTTCAAATTTAACCCCTTGTGTGCACTATAAGGTTAGCTTGTATTCATGGAATACAATAAGGTATTATTTTAGTAAAAAAGTCGACTGCATTGTGTAAATATTCTATAATTTGTGTCAAAAAATTATTGATTGAAAGACGATTGCCAAAAAGACCCTTGGGCAAGTTGTACTAAAGAACTTAGGGCCAAGTGTCTAAGCTTGTATATGAATAATTTCCAAGAGTCTTATTGCTTAATTGGTACCTTGATGCTAATAATTTCTTTGGATTTGATTGGTCGATATGGCATCTGCCATGATATCAACCAATCAGAGTTCCTTATACTGTATATTTATGATTAAGTTATGAATTTTGCTGACAACATGTCCAAGGTTTAATCTTAATTATCTAATACTTAAATGTATCTCATTGGTCAATTCTGTTAACAAAATATTATTGTCCAATCAGATTACTTGAAAAAAATTTGAAAAATAAGCCATGTATTATACTGTTTAATGTAATACTAAATGTCTTAAATCTCAACTGAAAATTAAAATTTATTTGCTTAAGAAAAGTTGTTATTTTCGCTAATTCTGCGGTCAGCAAAGTAAAATATTTATAATTCTTAGCAATTCGATTGGTCTAGATTGCAATACAACTAACCAATCAGATTCCTTTTAATTTTTTAGATTAATAATTCTATCATTTGATTGGTCTAAATTGTAACAGCAAAAGGAACCAATTGGATTGGTTGTAATTAGTTAAATTAATTATTCTTGCATTTGATTGGATAATAGTGTTGCTGTCACTTTTTAGACCGATCAGATTTATCCAATCTATAATGAATAATTCTGGCAGTTAATTGGTTTATAATATTGCTGGCACACTTTAGACCAATCACATTTGTTTAAATATTTACTGCCTTCAATTAATTAGCATTTGATTGGATAAGAAGTTTGGCTGGCACACTTTAGACCTATCAGATTTGTTGAAATTTGCTTCCACCATTTTTGCTAGTTAAGATACTTGTGACAGCCAACCCCAGTTATTTGACTGAATAAATATGTACAGTTTGATTATTATGTTATTTGAAAGCCAAACAGTTTGAAAGCTATGTAATGTTTTGAACCAGAAAGGTAAGCTTATATGTTAAATAGAGATCTATCTTGTACAGTCAAACTTTAAAGGGACAGGTGCGCCATCTGTTTGACCAATCGTACCTTAGTCTCAGAAACAGGAATTATTTTAGCTAAGCTAATAAGTAACAGTGTTCACAGCTCACCGTCGAAACTTGAGCATTCAAATGTATATTCAAGACCCAAACATCGTGCACCTGTCCCTTTAATATTTTTTTTAAATCAAAAACTCTTATAATGGTTTCACTTGAAGGAAACCTAAACTGGTTGTCTGATTTGAGTTCTGAAAAGTGACACAGATAGCTGAAATGTAAGAGTTTCAGCTGGTAAAGCAAATATTTAGCCAGTAATGCAATTTCGATCCATGCAATATGTTGCCGCTTGCGTCAAATTTTTCCATTTCGAATTTTACGTTGAATTACATATTAAGTTTAAGCTGTAATATTATTATTATATTTTGTTTGCTATCTATGTTATAAACTTGGAACTGTAATTATTGCTTCTGTATCAAAATATGAACCTTTTTTTTCTTCATATAAATAAATAGCTAAAACATTTTCTGAATTTGTTGCATTGGAATCAGGAGCCAAGTATGTAATCACTGAATTTTGAAAAGTGAAATGTAGCATTCAAATCTGGTGCTAAGTTTGAAACCACCACCATTATCAAATTGATGTGTTCCAATGCTGAAATATCCGTAGCCTCTACTTATGACTTAGGCCAGTGCTTTTATAAGAGAAGAGAGTATCTCTTATAAAACCTTATACCACTGAATATTGAAAAGAGAAATGTTACATTCGAATCAGGTATCAAGTGCCAATCACTGGATATTGAAAGCTGAAATGTTCATATCAATGTTCAAATTCATATCAGGTGCCAAGATTGTAACCCAAACCACAAACTATTAGATTAGAAAGTGATACAGGATAGTTCTCTGTTTCAAATTTCACTTTGGCCCTCTTCCCACTTGGTTATCAGACTTAATATTCACCAATATCCAAAATTAATGAAATTTTTTTTTATTAATTTTGACTTTATTTAGGTGATAATAATGATAAAAAAGCCATTGAATGTAAATATAGCCATTATATAAAAAAAATGCACAATTATTTCAGTATTAAAGATGCTATAGATATTAAAAATTAAAATATATTGCATATTAATAATAGAATAGTAATAAAAGTCAGCAGAAATATCTTTGCATGGTGATTGATTGTTCCAATTCTGCCAGTTCCAACACCCCCCCCCCCCTCCCCCCCTTCGAGTATACCATACAACGTTGAATCCTCAATGCACATCACAGAAAATTTTAATACATTATAATGACAAAAGAACCTGACTCAAACCTAATGTCATTTACACCACACCCCTCTTCAATAATTTGATAGATGGGGCCATGGTTCACTTTATCAAATGATCTTCAAATGAGGTATCAAATTATCTTAGATACAGAATAATCAAGCAAATATACTATTAAAGGCTAAATGGAATGGAATGCAATGAAGTACCAGGTATTTTGCAGTAATCCCTTAACCTTTTAACAAACACAAAAAAAAAACGGTGGGAATCTAAAAAATTTTAAGGTGAAATTGGTGCACAAAAAACCTCCCCAAAATATAACTTAAACATGTAAACAAAATCTTAATCAATTCAACAGTAAGATAGAGCCAAGCCTAGCTGCATATAGATCCCTGGTTCCCAACCTGCCCAAAGGGAGATGGAAGGGGGTACATGCAGGCCTGTTGGTAAGACTTGGCTTTACCTTTGAACTGTTGAATGAAGGAACCTAATTAAACTAAGATTAAAATTTAATTTCTTTTTTTCTGATATTTTTGTTCTCCATTGTAATCTAACAAGTTTTCTATCATACTTTTGTTCTAATGATGTTACTTTAACCAATCAAAATGTAGGACTTGTTTCTTAATATCAATGGAAAACTATGGGATAGAAAAGAAATTTTAATCTTATTTTAAAATAAGATGGAAAAAAGGAACACAATTATTACGTATTGTTGAAAACATACCAGGAAATAAAAGAGTCAAACAAAATTAAGGAGAGGTCGCTGAGGCTGATTTTTCGCTGGCTTGGTAATCGGGAGGGGAATCTACTGGACCACGGTAAGGGGACGGGTTGTCAATACTTTCATAGGGCCCCTGGTGACCACTGCTCTGCCCTGAAAGAATAAATAAAAAAATAATGTTGGTGTGTAATAGCCGTAGTGTTAATCTTACTGATTTTTCATGGTATAAGTCAAACTCATGATGGTCATAGGTTCTTATTCCGGTCAGCATTTGAAAGTCTGGTGACCTTTAGTCATCTTTCCACATAATTCCAGTCGACTAGCAATAAATGGGTACAGAATAAGTCATCTTTCCCCCTTTTAATAATTGGGTATGGTAAACCAAAGAAGAACGAAGAGTATTGGCCAAGTAATCGGTATACAACTTCTTCCCTCTTTTATATCATCTATTTTAAGCCTTTCACTAAAAATGCATTGAACTTTTTGTTCTCATGAAATAATCATTAAATGAAAGGATTAGATATCTAAAAATAACACACGAAAAAGGGTCCCTGACGTTCATCAGACTTACCTGAACCAAACCCTGGAACATTGGGAATACCAGGTATAAAATTATCATAATCTCGAGTCCGGCTCAATAATATTCTATACAACAAAAATATCGTGACTGGCTTGATTATTAAATTCAATATACACATACTAGTGTGATTATTAAGGAATATTTGATTATTTCAAATGTTTTGATAAAGGGAAGTGTGTCATCTATATCTAGCCTTTGATCCAACAGGCTGTTATTAATGGCTAAAGAATCATTCCATTACTTTTTTTAGATCATGACTCTAATTTGCTTTAAAGATTTTTAAATATTTATAGCAGCTTTTGTCATAGCGATGTCATAAAAAAGCTTTTTGACTGAAAATAAGAATGGTACAAATCAATACTATCAATGTCTTGAATACACACATAAACTTTAAAAAGGATACCCAAGTGAAAATCTAAATTCACTCAAAATACCTGTTGATGCTGAAAAAAAAAATGAAAGTAAAATCAAAATGGAGGGATCATAAATACCCACAATCAACTAGACTCCTGTTGGTATCAGTAAAAGGCAACACTGACCAAAAGTAAACTAAGCAGAGGGGACAGATCAGGCATGTGAACTCAGTACAGCAACCCTCTAGCTTGAAACCTTCCCACACCCATCACAATGATAATAATTTGTCAGGCAACATAAATCACCTCAATTTTACAAATGAGCTCTTCCAATCATACATAATACAGTTTCATGTTGGTAGAAAGTATGCATGTGTGGAAGAGTTCAATAGAAAGTTGAGGGGTGTCAACTAGATGACTGGCACACTACATCCAGCCTTCTACTGGTATGTGTAAATTCTTAAGTTCATGATAAACTTACAATTTCTGACTAGATCTTGACCCCTGGGTTCGTAAATTCCCAGGAAAATTATATCTTGTATAACACTGATTAGTAAACTTACAATAAACTGAAAAAAAAACATAAAATGCCTCATAATTTTGTAAAAAACAGGAATGTATTATTTAGTTAAGAAAAATGCCGCATCATTGAAAGCCATCAAAAATTGGACGAACCAGATTGTTACGATAAACTTACATTGTGTTGATTGCTCCTTGTATTACCTCAAATTGAAGTGGACTGTTGGTGATTATGATTTTAACTGGATCTGGATGTACACAAATAATTTTTTCTGAACTATACTCACCAATAAAACTGCATCACTAGATTCAGTGTAAAAGATGGCGATGATTCCAAATGATAAAATAAAAATATTCATATAAACATAACTAACTGGTAGAAACGCTGGAGATTGTGCTGCCCTGAAATATTAAGGGATAGATTCATTAATATCGAATATGTAGATGGTAATACCGTCTGCTTGGAGTCAAACACTGAGTCAAATTTTGAATTTACCGTGCGTTCAAATCAACCAACTTTACGCATAGTACAACATATCCACACTAAAGTCTATTAATGTCAATACCGGTACGTAATATATTTATCGCAATCTTTAAAACTTTTCACCGCCATTTTCCTGAAGGCCATTAGTGATTTGATTAGATGTATCAAGACATTAGTGTATAAAACATTCGGATTTGGTACAAACCTATCAAGATTAGGCTAAAATATGGACTTAAATATCAGAAAACGACAAGGATGCTAATTTGTAAACCTACGTCAGGCGTTCATTATTGTGTTTTACTATAACTTACCACATAGACAGCATGAAGTGGACAAACACTATAATCTGAAATAAACAATTATCATGTGATTAACAGACTAAATTAACATGACATAGTCTGATATTTCGGACTTGAAATAAAATTGACAAAATCCATATCAATAAATTAAATAAAACGTTATCACAATTTCTAAACAAAACAAAATGGCAAGAAAAAAAACAAATTTTAATTACCTTCAACATCAAATTTGGTGGCGACATTCTGTGCGTTGAATTATTCTTACCAATTTGTAGAAAATTTTAAAGATCTTAGCGGTTTTAAAGCGAAATATACATCACAGTCACGAGACGAATGTTGTGGTGTTGTTGATTTTTTTTTTGATCGTGTCAAAGGTCAAGGTGAGATCTGTACTTAGTACATTCGATTCTGCGAATAAAACCGTATTCACGTGGATGTAGTTATTCATCTCGAATAGCGCCGTTGTAATTTGTGAAGCACAAAAATAGAATTTCCTTATTATTGTGGAGTTTATAGGCTAAACAAATACCCATTCATTCACAGAATTTCAGACATTTTATTTAAAATACAAGAAAAGTTTCGAACACAACATTTCATGAACAAAGTAAGATTTCTCTCCCCTTGTGCTAGTCCTTGTTAAAAGTAAAAAAAAGTTTTTTCTTTCGAAAATTTCGTTTTTCGATTGAGAATTGTATAATTAGAAACAAACCATCCAGGTGAGCTTCGTGTCCGTTCTAAGCCGTCTGTCTATTTGCATTTTGATTGCTCTGACTCTGACACAGTCGACTTTTGGGATAAACTTTCAGTTTGTTTCTTAGTCTCGATTATCACACAATAAAATGATCGGTTGGCTTTTCATGGTTAAAGGGACTCGATCACTAATAAAACTAATTTTAATTTTTGAAACAAATGGTAACTGATGAAATTAATTCTTAATTCTTTGATTTCCTCATAGTCCTCAAACTTAAGATAAATTAGACCTCAACGTCAATTATTAAAAGAAGTGTTGTAAGCAACCAAAAGGCTGGGTATTTCCACTCTTCTCAAACACCTTAGGGCACTGTGAAATGTTGATTTTTACTTCAGAGAGATAACTGATAATTTTGCTTTAGTCTTGTACTATTTGATCATGTTTGTTTCAGGATGGTGTTGGATCAAGATACATTAAAACAACTTGGGGATGGTTTGATTGTGAAGTACACCGTTCTCGATAACCTTAAATTAGGCCGACATTTATACGAAGCTAGTATAGAAATTACTAACAGTGCTCGCGTTGATCTACCTCGTGATAATTGGGAGATTTATCTTTGTCACATTCGTTTAATAGAACCAGATGTGGCTTCGAGTCAAGAAAAATGTGAAATTAAGAAAAGTGGTGTCTGCTTCACTCACATAAATGGCTGCCTGTTTAAACTGGAGCCGTCTGAAAATTTCAAAACTTTGAAAAAAGGCGAAACATTGGTCATCAACATAACTGCTGAGATTTATTCCGTTGCTCGGTGCGACTATTTACCCAACTGGTTTATAGTTGCAGACGGTCTCGAGCCATGTTTGATTCAGAGCACTGTTGGAGAAGATCTGAAATTTGTTCAACCGTTTGATAAACCGTGTCAATGGAAGCGGTTCGATTATGAATTGGCAAATGGATTGAAGAGGTTTGACCTTTATGATCCATTTACACCAGAAGTTCGTTTTGAGAAACATTTCGTAGAAGATCTTAAAAAACCAGGGAAATTGATAATTCCCACACCTCTTAATTTGTCAGTGGAAGAAAAAAGAGTTGAGTTTTCTCCAACAGAATGGCAGATTGTTTCTGATGATATTTTTATTCAAGAAGCAGAATATTTATCCGGTAAGTATTGGCGCTTGCTTAATTGGCTATTCTAGATATCCAGAGATCCGAACTTTTTTGATTCTCCAAAGTGCTTTTTGTGACTGTCTTATTTGATCAAAGCTTGATATTGAGTGTGAGTCTTTATCTGACATCCCTCCTCTGTCTATTTAACTCTTCTACACATGCATATTTCCTATAAATATGAACTATAAGTGTATCATTAGAAGAACTCATTGTAAAATTAGGGGTGGAGAGGGGGAATATATTGCCTGTCAAATTAAATCCAGCTTTGCTTTTTATAAAGTTTATAAAATGTCTTTCAGAGAAAAGTAAAGTGAAAATTGGAAAGTCAGGAACATCCAGTAAAACCATTGCAATCAAACAAACTAGAGACTTGATGATCAAGAATGAAAGAATACCAGGCAGCAGTGAAGGCTATAGAATACTAGTCAACGATGGCAGCATAATTTTAGAAGCTAGAGACCGTCCTGGTATATTTTATGCCTGCCAGTCATTTCTCTCCTTGCTGGACAAACACAACAACATCCCTGTTTGCTGTATTGAAGACTCACCAAGGTAAGAAATGAGCTTTTTGTAGCTATGCTTATTCCATGGGGACACCTGGCTCTGTAATTGCATATGCTGTATTTTAGACTTTGTTGAATGAAGATCTACAATAAGAAAAAGAGAGACAGAAGTATAAGCCATGTCCATTCTTCTAGAACATCTTTTGATTATCAGTAGCTAAAAATGCTCCTATGTTATCCTTATACCAATATAAATATTGATATCCCTCGAAATGTTTTGTCAAATTTTCCCAGAATTCATGATTTTATGCAATTCATATTATCATAAACTCTCCAGATCATTGGTTGAAATCTTTCTATTTATAGATATACTTATCGCGGCATGCATATTGATGTTTCGAGAAATTTTAAGACCAAAGAAGATATTTTAAAACTGTTAGAAATCATGGCAATGTATAAACTGAATAAATTACATTTTCACCTGACAGACGATGAGGGCTGGAGATTAGAGATACCTGGTTTACCTGAATTAACACAGGTAAGCTTATTTTTCTGTTCTTTTCTTATTCTTTAAAGAGTTGAGCTGATTCCTTCAGATTTTTCATTAATGCAAATGGTCAAGGAGACAAAGTCGGCATTGAAACAATGAATGGCAGTTGGAGATGCATACAGTCAAAGATGTGTCGTTCATCTATTTAACACCCCTCAACTTTCTATTGGACACTTCCAAGCATACAAACTTTCTTTTAGTATTAAACTGTATATGTATGATTGGAAGAGCTCATTTGTAAAATGGGGGATGTTCTTTTTTTGCATTTCAAATTATATTCAGCATTGGGTGCCATGACACATTGTGACTATGAATTTGTACTAGAGAGTCCACATTATGTTTATGATTTCAGGTTGGATCTAAAAGAGGATACAGTAGTGGAGAAAATACTTACATTTTACCAGTTTTGGGTTCCGGACCGTTTCCAACTGGGTCTGGAACCGGTTACTACTCAGTCTCAGAATATAGAGAAATCCTGACATATGCTGCCGCCAGACACATTGAAGTAATTCCAGAAATTGACATGCCAGGACATAGCCACGCTGCCATTGTCTCCATGAGAACTAGATACAAAAATTTTATGGAAAAAGGACAACAAAGGGAAGCAGAAGAGTATTTGTTGTCTGACCTATCCGACAAACTTGAGGCTAAATCGGTTCAAATGTTCGCTGAAAATTCGCTCAACCCTGGACTCGAATCTACATTTACTTTTGTCGAAAAGGTGGTGAAAGAATTGAAAATTATGCATGCAGACGTGAATCCATTAAAAACATTCCATTTCGGAGGTGATGAAGTTCCATACAAAGCATGGAAATCCTCTCCAGCCTGCCAAGCTCTTGTTTCTTCTGGAGTCGTGGATAGTGTTGGGGATCTTATGGATTATTTTGTTCGTCGAGTGGCTGGAATTGTCGCTAACTATGATCTGAGTTTGGGGGCTTGGCAGGATGGTATCATGGATGACAACGAACCCTGTGAAAGGTCACGATTTCCAAATAAGGAAGTGTATGTGTATGCATGGAAGAATGTCTGGGAGCTCCAGCATGCAGCTGATAGTGTGAAACTGGCTAATAAGGGCTACAAGGTGGGTAATATGCTTCTTTTTGGCTTTTCAGATCAAAAGATGGCCAAGTCAAAGAAACGAAAAGACTATCCAATTTTAACTTTGTCAGTTTTCGTAGTATTTTCCAGACAACAAAGCATTATCATTCTCACAAGCAAATATGTCCCATTTCCTTTATTTGTCTGCAAGTCTGGGTGTAATGTTACAGGTTTTGATATTAGTGGTAGTAGCAAATATTCGGAAAACCCAAATTTTTATTCCCTTTACAGTTCCCTGTGTCAGCTGGTAGAGCTGAAAAGGTGAATAAAAATCCACATCCAATTTAAGCCAAATTGAAAACTAGCATCTCAAACTTCTTAAATATTTTTCTTTTTCCTAGATTGTGATGTCTCAGGGAACACATCTATATTTCGATCATCCTTACGAGCCTGACCCAGAAGAACGAGGGTTATATTGGGCTTGTAGATATATAGATACAAGAAAGGTTTTCAACTTCATGCCTCAGAATCTGTACGCCAATGCAGATTATAAATTAACGGGTGAGGTCATCTCACAGCAGGATAGAAAAAAGATGATGAAAAAACAGTTCAGTGAAAGTCTGGAAAAAAGTGAAAATATCATAGGTTGGTATGAATAACAAAACTGTAGTTAGTTCCCCTTTCAGTGTCCATATTGTAGCTAATAATTGTGTCCATCTAGCTGATTCAGTGATCTTCTAGGGGTACTGCTTGTGTTTGCTGGTCCACTCAAAGAGTCTTGAGTCTCTTTGCAGAATCTTAAGTCTAAAAAAGACTAAAAACTCTTTTTTTTAGGAGTACAGGGTCAGCTGTGGACAGAGTTAGTGAGAACATCAGAACAGTTTGGAGAAATGATATTTCCGAGACTGTTGTCACTCGCTGAGAGGGGCTGGTATAAAGCAGAATGGGAAGATTTCGATGATGATACAGAGAGAAAGATCCATCAAGATAAGGACTGGGTGTTCTTTGCCAATGCTCTTGGTTATAAAGAATTACAACGTCTGGACGACTGTGATATGGCGTATTATATACCACCTCCTGGTGCCAGGTAAAATCACACACCTTTGTTGTTACTTTCCATCCTGCATCTACCTCGCCCTGCCTGTTCCTCAGAGCCAGTCACAGAGCCAGTCTGAAAAGGTCTCATTTTATGAGAGATGCTCTGATCCATTTTTGGTCTTAGTTTTTGAGAATTTTCACCATGACGAAAGCCAAATTTGGCAACATTATTGATATGTATACAAGTTGAACCATAAATGAATCCAACAAGACATATTCTCTGTGCCTCACATGTTACCACAATACAGTTAAGGGGTAAGCTTTTCCTTTCTGCGTACAAATCTTTGGACTTTGCAGAGAATAGTTATATAGGTATTCTCCAATCCATTTTCTTAACGAAATAAAATGTTGTTTACAAAAACAAAAAAACTCTTTGGAGTTTTAACTATCATATTTTCATGTTTTGTAGATGGCTGTCTGAGGGTGTATTTGAAACTATTTGTTGTTATCCAGGACTGACTATACAATATTCTACAGACAATACAAACTGGACAGATTATACACAAACAGTCCAACTTCAACAGTCAATTCCTCAAGTTCTACTTAAAACTTTGTAAGTATCAGAAAACTTAGTAAGTATCAGAAAACTTTGTAAGTATTAGAGAATATTGTAAGTATGAGAAAGTATAAGCAATAGGAAACTTTGTAAGTATGAGAAAGTATAAGCAATAGGAAACTTTGTAAGTATCAGAAAACTTTGTAAGTAACAGATAACTTAGTAAGTATCAGAGAATATTGTAAGTATGAGAAAGTATAAGAAATAGGAAACTTTGTAAGTATCAAATAATAAGTATAAGAAAACTCCTATATAAACTGATATCCAAAAACTTGAAGGGATTTTTATGTGTATCATGGACACTGATAGCATCTATTTACACCATTCCAATTTTCAAACGTCTGTGGTTCCTGTAATTCCACCAAAACAATGCCCTTAATGACATTACTATTGAAAAATCTCCTTGAAATTTTATTTTGTAGAAGCACAAATAGAAAAAGATGCAGTCGGATAGTTGTGTTAAAGTCTGAAGTCACAAAGTGATGATAAAGCGTCATTGCTAATATTATACCAGAATATGAAGCCTTAATGATATTTATATTTTTAACGACCAATTATTCCCTTGTGTCTTGTTTTCTATAGGTTTATTTTTACCCACATAACCAATTATGACCCATAATTTTGATCTCAAACAGTCTGCTATTGTTTTAGACTACAGACCACTATGCAATTTAATTCGACATGAATAAATGGAGTTATGCCCCTTAATTAATTTGCTTTTATTTTAGACTATTATACAATTTAATTGAAATCAATAAATGGAGTTATTCCCTTTTCTCAATATTTAAGTCGTACCAAACAAATTTCCAAATTTAAATTTGTGATAAAGGACCCCAAAACTTGTGTGCATGTGCATATCTATACCAGAGATACTTCAAATCTTTTGGTTTGTATTTCGTTAAGAAATAACAGATTACACCAAATTATTTGTCTTTAATTGTGAAGAAGCCGGTTTAGATCGCTGGCGCTTCAGAGGGGACTTTCCTAAACACTTGATGCCACTCCTTGAGTGAGTTTGTCAACACAATATTGCTCCAGTTTTGATTATAAGGATATTGACAACAAATATTACATTTATCATATAAAAAATTATTTACAATAATTTGGACAAACAGAAAGAAAATAATAAATATATAAAATGAAAGTGAACAGTAGATGACGAGGAGGTTGATGCTAATTTACTGGCTCGAGTTTTTAAACTCACAATTCGACTGGTTCTTCCACCATCAGCTGACCTGAAATCAGAAAATAAGGAACTGTTTAACATAATCAAAAGGGTTGCGCAGGCCATAGTGTAGTTAAGGATTCGGTACTCAAGAAGGCTTATTTACTTGACAATATAACTTAAACTTTGGTTTTCCAACCATTCAAGGAGCTTCATAAGATGGCATGATAATAGTGACGGCGAATTTGGTGGTTTAGAACGATCTACAGTTTCTGCCATTGATCTAGGTACGGTATGGAAGCAGTATAAGGCCAAAATGAATTCTTACTTTGTTCTCAATAATACAATAACTGACGGCTGAATTTTCTGATCTGCTTGCACCTCACACCAAGTAGCTCCATCATCTATACTGTACTCTACCGTTAATCCAGGGTAGGCTACGTTAGTCTTTAATTTATTTCTCACTAGTCTGGAAATATTTAAATGATATTGAGATGAGACATTCGGCAATTCTCGGCAGTTTTCATACAGCCGAATCTGTTGCAGGACGCTAGCGGAACTTTCACAGTAGACCCTTTGAAGATGATATACAATAAACCACTACGTATTTAAAAAGTGCGTATTATATACCAAAATATACCGTATACGACTACGTATTAAAAAGTGCGCATTGTATACCGAAATATATAGTATTTCACTGCGTATTGTAAAAGTGTGCATTATATACCAAAATATACGATATACCACTGCGTATTCAAAAAGTGCGCATTATATACCAAAATATACAGTATATGACTGCCTATTTAAAAAAAAGGTGCGTATTATGCAACGATGCGTTTTATACATGTACACCCGTAAACACATTAGCTACTTACATGGCTCCGGGTGGAGGAACAGCATACTTCAAACCCTTTTCATCTAATCGCTTCAACTCTCGATATCCAAGAGTATTAGCAAAGCTAACCCAGTCGGCATCTCGTCGTTTATTCCTGCTTCTGTTATTCCGATCGCTCTCCCAGTCAGCCTCGTGCCATGCTCGTTCTGCCAATGCCAGGAACCTCGGATACAACATCTGATCCGCTAGATCCCGATTCCGGATTATTTCACTCCATAGATGTCCCTGAATACCTGGAAATTAAAGAAGACCCTGATTATGTATGATTATTGCATATTTCTCTGCGGCAACTGGTATGTATTGATCTGTCTTCAATAGAGTCTCCCCTCTGGTCCAGCTTCGCTTGGGATCAAAATACAAGAACCACAAAGATGCTGTGACGTCGATTCAAGTTGAATTCTAATGAAAACCTATTTTAAGACACGACCTTACCCACAATATTCTCTGGTTTTTCTAAGCGAGGGCAGAACTTTCCATCTTCACCACAAACATCTTTCCTGGAAAGTCGATCACCGGATCGAGCCACATCAGCGTTCATGTACAGATTCTGAGGCATGAAACCGAAAGTCTTCCGAGTGTCTGTATATCTTGGAGCCCAGTATAATCCTCTTTCTTCGGGGTCCGGCTCGTACGGGTGGTCGAAATACAAATGAGTTGCTTGAGCCATGACGACCTGAAAGAAGAGAGTGTTGTAATCAGTTGTTCAGCAAATTCGATTGAGTCACTCCTGGGCAAGACTGCTGATGTTTCTAGTTGCTTATTGGCGAGATACGCATTCATTTCATTATTTTAAAATGCAACAGTCCATTGGATATTGAGCCCAACTATTATAGCCATGGGAAGCCTATACCCAGTATTTAAGAGAATATCAGACTGGAGCTATGAGACTTGCCTACTGCACGACCTACATCATACAAGCCCCATGTCTTATTATGAAGAAGAGAGCTAATGTGAAGTTGTCTGATTTGTTCGTAGATGACAAGTTACCGTCCAATTCCAGCAGAAGCTGATATCACAGACTAGGTAGTTGTTGGTAGATGACAAGCAATGTCTTCTTCCAGCAGAAACCGATATCTCAGACCTTGAAACCTACCTTATAACCAGCATTGGCCAATGAATAAGCTCGTCCTGCTTGACCCCATTCCCAGATATTGTCCCAAGCGTATCCATAAACATTCTCATTCTGTAAGAGATTTCTGGAGTACGGGGTACTTCCGGATTCCATCACTCCATCCTCCCATGCAGCTAGATCTAGTCCTAAACTCGCTGTTAAATTTGACACTTGGCTCACGAACAGCTGTTTAATGTCCTTATGATCAAATGTGACACTTTGGTCTGTGAAGAGATTCTCACAGAACGACGAGTTCTCCCAAGCACCTTTCGCCACTTCGTCTCCTCCGAAATGGTAAATGTCTAAAGGCATGATCTCTCGGTGGAGCTCTATCAGCTCGGCTAAGACTTTGGCTATGAAAGTATAAGTGGATTGTAAACAAGGATTTATAGCATTGTCAGTGAACAGTTGGATGGATTTGTATATAGATGGATCGGCTGGATCTATTAAAGTGTACTTATCCACCTCGGATGGATTATTAGAGGACAGCATCTTTCGACGACGAGCTTCCATCGATTTGATAGCAGCGTGTCCATGTCCTGGCATATCTAATTCCGGAATAATTTCAATATGCAATGACTTGGCGTGTCTGAGAATATCTTGATAATCCTCTGTAGTGTAGAATCCCGATCCAGGCGAACTGGCGACTGGCCCTGAACCTAGAAATGGTAGAAGACACTTGGTTTCGTCTGGATCGTGGCATCTCTGTGATCCAATCTGTAACGAAAGAATAAAACGGTTAGAATCCATATATGGAGAAAGTGGTGCATACTTCCAGTTCTTTCGTCCACAGAAATTCGAATCTCAGGCTCTGTTATCCGCAGGTGCGCCTTCTATAGTGTGTATTTTACATAGACGCACAACCAGATAATCTGAGAGCACAGCACTCAAAATATTTATAGTAGTTCATCCAAACAGGAATCCAAATGCCTAGTCTGCGTGTTATACAAAGGTGCGTATTGTACTCAAGTGTTATTATATTACACAGACATGCAACGATAAATAAGTGACGAACTTTACCTGTGTCAATTCTTCTAAACCAGGAATTTCCAATCTCCATCCTTCATCATCAGTCAGGTGAAGATGTAGCTTATTTAATTTATACATTGCCATGGTGTCCAATAATCTTATCACGTGATCCTTGGGGTGGAAATTTCTAGCCACATCCAGCATCACTCCACGATAGGGATATCGAGGACCATCGAAGATTTTAGCTCGTGGCACCAACTTCCTGTCATCCATAAGATTCAGTAGGGATTGGACGGCGTAGAATGCACCAGGTTCGGCTCGAGCTCGAATCTCTATGGAACCTTTAAATGGGTCGATGTCCAATTCATATACTTCATCGTTGGACACCTCCTCGCCGTTTAAGCGGACTTTCACATCCGCTTGGTTGAACCAAATATAGTGACTGTAAGGCTTCTGATCTGTTACTTTAAATCCTAGCTTATCTGAAATAGATGTTACAAAGAGATTAGGATTGAGCAAGTTGTTGATGGGGTTGATCTAGGGCCTTCTAGCGGACATTGCAATTTGCTTATGGGTGGAAAGGTCCCAGGAAACGGCATTCGTATCTACCCATTGTCTCACGGTAATGTTATTGTCAGACGTAGCGAGAATGACAGCCTTACTACGATTGAGTAAAGGCTTTTTAATAAGATAAGAGCAAAAAGAGAAAACAAAATGAAACGTACTTGCTAAATATTGCGCCTCGTTGTAAAAAACAGGCGGCGACACAATCTGCCAGTCTCGAGTTTCAAGGTTTAAAGTCGCCGAAGTGTCAACGTTAATTTTCACGGGGGTCGGGATGATCAACTTGGTGGGTCTCCCTAAATCCTTCACATCCGAGTTCAAAACATATCGAGCCCGGGGGGTGAAGGGATCGTATCTGTCATGCCCCTCGGCTTTCTCAGTCTTATAATCGTATCGCTTCCATTTATTGGGTTGATCAAATTCTCCTACAAAACTCAAACTTTCACCCGTCGTCCCTTCCACGACTCGCTCTTCCAGACCCTTTGATGCTAAATACCAATTGGGATACGTGTCACTTTTTGCTACAGAGTAATTCTCAGAAACGTAGCGGATTCTTCGCTTCTCTCCTGGACGAATAGATCGAAATCCTGAAATAGGTTCCAATTTGAACATACATCCTTGTAGATGAGAAAGTTTGACTTTATATTTTTCTATGATGGCGCCATTTTCGCTGGGCAAAGAATCGGGTTCTGCTAAGTTCAACTGGCACCAGATCAGTTCCCACTCCGCGCCTGGAAGTGGTTCCTGTCCCCGATTTGTGAAAGTTATCTGTGCCTCGAACAGTCTTAGATTGTCTCTGAAATTATCCAGGACTTCGTATTTGATATCCATAAAATGTGCCATGTAATCCAATTTGTCTTGTGTCATTCCTGCAAGAAGAAAAAATAGCAATGAATGAATGCAATTGAAAGAATGAACGAATGAATGAAAAACAATACAGTTGGATGAAAAGATGAATGATTTATATAATTAATATGACGATGGATGAATGAACGAATGAATGAATGACTAAACGTCGCGATGAATAAATTAACGTCGCGATGAATGAATGAACGAATGAACAAATGAATGAATACTTGACCATGATCTAAGACATTTCCCACAACTAATAGATATATAATTCAGCCAGACTTGTTGGAGATTCTTAACCGATCAAATATCGAAATTGAATTAATTTTCATGTCATACATGGGACTTGAACTCAATACGACTTCCATTTATAAATGGAAACATCAAGTTTAAGTGATATGCTATTTTGAGAGTTCTGACTGTGACCTTTGACCTTGTTCCCGATCTTAATGTTTGTAAATTCAGCAATACGTGATTGTTAAAATGGCCAAATTTCCTTACACATGTACTATTTGGGGTCAGACCTGTTTACGTGACGATGTTATTTTGATGGGAGCGGTTCATTCTTCTGAAGGAATTCACCCCATGATAAAGGAATGGGGGGGGGGGGGGGGGGGGGGGGTATAGTGTGTCTGAACATGTAGAACCAAGCCAACGTAGCTTCATTTTTGTTCGGCCTCAGCCTACATGTAGAAAATATTCGTAGCATCTGACCAACTGACTGAACAAGAGATTAGTTAATTTGTTATTTACCTGTAAACTATGTGGCGTTTACACTGACCAGTCTGTAACATTTTTACCTACGTCAAGTCACTAGTCACTAGGGTTAGTCATTTCAACAATTCCTAATAACATTATCTGATCGGTTAGTTTAATGTGCCTTTTGCACTTTTCTGAACCACAGTCGCGGATATACACTGCTTAAGGGGAACTATAGATGAAATAGGAAAGAGGCGAATCGGATAGGGCGAGATGAGATAGGGGCGATATTGGGTAGGGCCAGCATAAGATGGTGCGAAATAGGAAAGGGCCGATATTGGAAGGTACGATATAGGAAGGGGTGATATACCAAGGGATAATATGGGAAGGGGTCATATGGGGGAAGGCACGATAGGGGAAGGGGTCGGGGTCATATGAGAAGGGGTGATATGGGCTAAAACCGACTCGATGGTACGTGCACATATTTGACGCCAATATATTTCTTACAAATACTTGCCATTTAAGATTAAGATCAGTTGTTTTAAACCTAATTAGTGGTCAGGATTACGGAGATAAAGCAAGATGGTACAATGACGTTGATCGTCCAAGTTTGACTCGAGATTACCCCCGGCTTTGTTTACTCGTTGCTATATTTCATATTTCAACAATGTCTCCTTTCTTAAAGGTGATTTTTATAACAGTGTATAAATAGAGGTCGTAGTAAGTGGGGTGTGTGGAGAGAGGGTGGGGTGAGTAGCAAAGCCCGTATTAATGCGTTTTGGACATATAAAAAAAACACACACTTAAAAGAAATTGTGCCTTTAACTTGTTCATTAACAAGAATTAAAGACAAGTAAGGACCCAATATATAACCTTGTCTTATCCGGACGATTGCCCCGAATCATTCAAAGTCGAAGAGTATAATACTTTCTCTCCATTTTACTGTGCAATTTCAAGGCATGACATTGGTTTCCAATTCTGAAGTCCATAGCTTACTACACCTATACGTTCGATTTACGAAAAAAACTTGGATGTTCTGATGACGAATTTGCCTACGAAACGCTTTGACAGAACTCATCTCTAACCTATTAGAAAAGCTAGCCAAATCAATGCAAAACTTAGAAGTCTTAAAACTCCAATAGCAAAAGCCGTCTTCATCTTTAATCGTAATTGCAAATATCGAGAGATGCAAGGCACGGATAGAAACAGTTTTCTGTCTTCATGTTTGTGTTTTGACTTAAAATAAAAACTGTCTTATTACATGAGGAAAAGTCAGTTAAAATGTTTAATTTACAACTCGAATCTACTTGCTATTTATTTACGATTTATCAATAAAAAAGATATTGCATTAGTTTGTTTGGTAGATATCTTAAGTAAAAAACAAAATTTTTCATTTGTATAACGATATGCACAAACGCTCTGCACAGGTTCAGCTTTACGGAAGCTTGTCGAGGATTGCTAGGGGTATGCATTAGAGGTCATTTTCGACGAATTATTATTGTGCCATATAATAAGTGATTGTCAAATTACAGTCAAACTTAATCACCCCCTCCCCCCAACTCCATCAATGCTATTTATTCAACTCCATTCAATGGAGACCTGTTGACGCGGCTAGTGGTCGCTTATTTTATTACCGCGGGTTCTTTCATATTTCAAGTTTGGCTGCAGCTGAAAAGTAGATATATGGAATTACTATTTTTGGCAGACAATGCCCTCCATACAATTTTTGTTGGTATATCTAATTATGTTGGTTTTATTCGTTAAATTAATTATTTTATTTCCTGGTTTTGACACAGGCTTGGAAATTCTCCGATAAACATAGTTTGATGTAGGTCTACAGGTGTGGTTTTGACAATTAAACAGTTTATTGCCTGGCAAAATATCTCTCGTTGCACACTGTAGGATCATTTCACTACCTATCATATCATCAAATTTCAGGCTTGTTATTTTTTAATGTCATCGATCAGAAATTGCAACAGGTAGGGACAAAATAAAGAACTTTGCTTTACCCCTAATGTAGAGGGTTTCATTGGTGTGAATTTTAAACAAGTAGGGTACTAACGGTCAACCTTGCTTTACCCAATATTACATACAGTTTTCATCAGTAGATAATATAAACAAGCAAGGTCCTAAAATACAGCCTTGCTTTATCCCTTGAATATCAATTTCAAAATTGGGAAAATTTTAACAACAGTATTTTACTTCATCTTATAATACATTCCAAGAACGAATTCCAAACGTATCGAGACGCTTTTTTTCAGTTTAAGAAACTTCCTCTCAGGCAACTGACTGGCGAAATATCGGTACTAGATATTATCGGATCGGAGACTACGAATCAGAGCAAAGGCATGGCATTAACATTTGATAAAAAAAAAATTCTGAAAGTTCTTACCTTGAATTTGTCCATTTCCTTGAGTGGAGTATAAATCTGGAATAACAACCAATATCATCAAATATATCAAACGATAATCAGCCATCCTTGTTACTTATAACTTTTCAAAATTAATCCAAATAAAAATCTTGTTACTTTTTGCTTCTCACTCGAAACGCACTTGGTGTTCTACATATTTTACGCTGAAAAATTTTCTTCAAAATATTTATTCGAATTTTTTTTTTATCCTTGAACTGTATTTTCCGATAGTTTTTGTGTACAAATCATGGAAAAATGTTTGGTTGGAATACAAAATTTGTTAACTTTTAAAACAATAGGATGCAGCGAGTGTCACGTGATTTTAAACTCCTCCTCTAAATGAACCCAGGTAAAAGTTGTTTAAATAAATCAGGTATACGTTAATAGCAAACTAACGATCAAATTGAAACCTCTCGCACTAACGTCAAGAGAAAGTGTGTTTTAGACTCGAATTTTTCTTTGAATAGTAAAATGAAACTAAAAGGGTCGTAATATCTGTTTATCAATTATCACAGACTGGCGCAACTGGTAAAAGGTCAGCAAAAAAGGACAGTCGGAAAGGAAAGATATATCAAATTTTTTATTTATGGTACCGTGAAGAGGACGGGATGTCTTGGCTTGTTGCTTTTCGTCAATGTTGTCGTTTGTCAAGGCAAAATAATTACACCGAAATATTGTCGCATCATTTAAAGAATCACCCGGATCTGATTTGCTAAGTGCTTTTATTGAAGAATTAAAATTGCGGATAACATCGTTAGAGAGAGTACTAAAACTATACTCTGGGAAGAAGTATAAAAACATGTCACATTCTACCACAGTGCAAAATTATTGACAACAATTTAGAACATTGTCATACTAATTCGTACAATTTCGAACATCGTCATACAAATTTGTACAATTAGGAACATCGTCATACAAATTCGCACAATTTCGAACATCGTCATACAAATTCGTACAAGTTCGAACATCGTCATACAAAAATTATACAGAGTTGCAATTGTGTAAATTGGTGTACAACAAACTGTGACACATCAATATAGTATATAGCATGCAATATGCAGAGCCAGTAGTTAACAGGTGTAAACGTTGTAAAAGGGTTCAAACGAGGGATTAACAAAATTCGTTGAGGAGTACACCAAGCTATTATAAACTGTACATGAGTTTCATGATTAAAACTTTAACAAATTCTTAACACAAGGCCATTGGTGGTTAACACAACATCAAATTACTTTTATAGAGATCAACCAATACGGAGGGCGAATACCAGAACCAGTTTAAAACATTAACCAACCAGCTTTGTTTAAAATGAAACTGGTTCAAATTTTAAACCAATCAAGGCGTGGTGAGAAATATCAACCAATTAGGATGGTAAAAACTGTAACTGGTTTGAAACAACCAATAAGGTTGATTGATTCATAGTTTGGTTTGATATCACAGCCAATCATATTGGTTAAATAACAATTGTTTAAAAAATTAACCAATCATGAAGATCGAAACCATAACTGGTTTTCAAATGTGAGCCAATGAGGACAGTCACACCATAACCAGTTTAAATTATTAACCAATCAGAATTGTCTAAAATACAACTGCTGTGAAAATCAACCAATCGGATTGTTACAAATCTCTTGTCCAATGAGTTTGCTCAAGTAAAATTTTGGAAAGTTTCCAAACTAGCTATCCTGATGAGGATAGTGTTTCCACAACATGAGTGGGCACCATGCGGCAAGCTGTAGCCAAAGAGAATAAACAAGGGGAATAACCCGCAAATTTGTAAAAGCATTAACTATAACATTAAAAGTAATAATACTATTTTTATTGAGAAAGAATAAACTAGAATAGATTCTATTATTTAATAATACTAACAAATATATCACCAATCACCTATAGTAACTTTATATTATAGAAAAACATTTCAATTAATTTATATTTTAAAAACTGAAGGCCGAATTTTGTGATGAAACATAACATGAAAGATATGTTCAAAGTGGAGAGTGTCCATGGTGGTGCTCGATTGGTTCTGAACAGGTGCAGTCTGTTCCAATTATGGCCTAGGTCTGCAGAAGCATAATGTCCCATTTTGAATTCTGCCTGCACCTATTATTTTTTTGGGACAAGTGGAAAGAGTTTCGAATTCTATTCCAACTTGCTTTACTGATTGTCCATGAATCCCAATCGTGCAGAACTAAACAATCAAGAGCCCTTAATAATTTCAATAATATGATCAAAAAATTAAATAGAGTTTTCTCCCCTTGATAGGGAAATAAAAAGACAACATATGAGAAACAAAAGTGAGAATTTTTAAATAAGTTCAAAATATACAAAAAGGAAATTTTGATCTTGAGTTTTTACAATGCATGATGAGCTGTTTTTCATTTCGGTTCATGTTTTCAAAAATTATCCAAATTATTTTTCGCTTTGATAAAAAAAATTGACCAATTAATAAAAATGTTGCTTGAATCAAAATCAACTTCATTTAACAAAAATTACGGAGAGTTCATCCAAAAAAATGAAAATTTAGACAAAAACAAAAGGTTATTTTCAATTATTAAAAAGATAAAATATTTAAAGCACAAAACTTCATACATTTTAAGATAAAATTTGGTTACAAATTATTCCAATATCATTTAACAATGAAAATATAACAATTAAAAATTTCTAAAATATTTTAATAAAATCCGAAACATTGTTAAAATTCAAATTGTTATCACTTAATTTTAATAAATTTCATTTTAAAAATACAGAAAATTAATAGTTTGAAACTTGCTGTCTCTTACCCTTGCCCCATGAAAAAGTTGAAGGAACATTTGGGGCCCATTTCAAAACATAAGTATGACCAGTTCACTATATTTTTGAGGTAGAATAAGAAGTAAATAGTGCTATATAAGTAAGACTTCTTACATCCATTACTACTTACACTACCCCATAAGTAAAATGGATTGGTCGTGTTTATGTTTAGAACCATACCCTATGTTTTTGCTCACCTTTAGATAATTGACAAATTATATGCCAACCTCAGTCAATAATAAATATCAAAGACACAGTAAGAGTCAGCAAGTTTCAAACTTTGAATGTGACATAAATCAATTATATCAGATAAAAATCTCATTTATACAATTTATCTATCCCATAATTTCTCTCATAATTTAATTCATATTTAAATTGGTTCAAGACAAACATTAAAAAAATATTTCTCCCCTTTTTTTCTGAAATATCTCGTCAATTTTTTTTTCGATCCTAAACCAATATCAAGATGAATTCAGTTTTGACTATATGCTAATATTCGTTACGTATTAATTATTTGGTACAATAGTGACGGGGATAGGTGAATTGCGTACCACAAATTCACTAACACTACCGAGAATTGCTCGTTTAAACGCCCCCAAACCTCGTGTACCCATGACCAAACTTTCAACTTTTTCAGTTTCCACAACTTTCAAAATGGCTTCTCCAACTTTTCCACTGCCTCGGACAATTTTTCCAGGTATCTGAAATAAAATGAAAGGAAATGTTAGGGAACAGGTGGACAGAGAGTTTGGCAGTACTATACACTGTACAATGAGGGAAATTTGGTCTTCCCATCAAATTCCAACTGCTAATATCAATTATAATGAAATGAAAAGTTTTACCTCCAATTACCCAATGAAAGTTTGACAGTGTCATGCAGTGTGATATCAGGAAAATATTTCAAAGACATCTGTTGTAAGAAGTCTACATCGCGATAGGACTCAATTAGACCTACTTACCCTAACTGGGAACTGATACCTCTTGGTGAGGGAAGGGGTCATTTTCACAATGTCAAGCTATTACGAACTTCATATATTGCAGTCAAGGTATAAGACGAAGTTTGTGATAGCTTGACATTACAAGGGGGTGGGAGAAGCACGAGCCTTTTAGTAGAAAACTTACACTTTTGCTCTTTAATTTATCTGTTAGCTGTCCGATTAAATTACTGACTTTATCTTCCTGTTCTTTTACCAGTTTACCTAGAGCATCTTGGTTAGGTACTAAAAATAGATATAAACAGATATTATAAGGGGAGACAATCATCAGAGTTAAGTTTAAGGACAAGTGTTGCTATTTTTCTTGTAGCTATTGTACAGCGATCCTTACAATACTGTATCCTTTGAATCACGCTACATGATTGCTCCATTTAACCAGCTACTACAGATGATACAAAATAAACAAAGTGATACATACCTACACCTACACTGAGGTTATATTCTGTAATGATAATACCAACAACAGAATCACCATTTCTATATAGATTGTTCAGGCACCCTGTAAGAGAAATATCAATATTGTTAGTTATGTGGAGTCTCAAATATCAATATTGTTAGCCACGTGGACTCTCAAATATAAATATTGTTAGCCATGTAGACTCTTAAATATAAATAATGTAAGCCATGTGGAGTCTCAAATATGAATATTGTTAGCCACGTGGACTCTCAAATATAAATATTGTTAGCCATGTAGACTCTTAAATATAAATAATGTAAGCCATGTAGAGTCTCAAATATGAATATTGTTAGCCACGTGGACTCTCAAATATGAATATTGTTAGCCATTTGGACCCTTCAACGCAAGCAACTACTCTACAATTATATTATCAAGTGATATCACATAACATTAAATAAAGTTCAGGATATATAACATTATATTTCATTTACTGATTAAACCTCCCCAGGTATGTATGAATGTGTCTTTGTCTGTATATAGGACAAAGACTGGCTGTCAATGTCCAGCAATGGTTTTAATTAACCACCTTCAATACATGTTATATTATATTCAAATCCTTTTAATAATCTTCACTATAAGACATATTGATCCTATGGGAATTCTTTATCCAAATTTAATGTTTTTATTTTCAGCTTTATAGTTCTGTTGGCAGTTGGCAGACAACATAGAATGCTGGAATTGCAAAAACCACAGATGTCTGAAAATTGGAATGGTGCAAATTGATGTTATCAGTGTCCCCAATACACATTAAAAAAAAAAAAACAGAAAACCTCTTTACAATCCCTTTAAATTCAGTATTAATTCTGCTTTTAGACTATGAAGATATTTTGAAATATTTCAAATAAATCAGTGAGCACTCAAATACAAAACTACTTTATGGTTCTAAGGGTGATGGTGACATGTGTATCAAAGCAAAATGATGCAATTAGGTTACTGTGACCAGTTCCATATAACTCTAATTAATTAATCAGTTAGCCATTAACAGCTGTGTAGCAAGTCAGTATCAGACTGGAAGAGTTTCTCTTGAATTCAAATCAGCCAACTAATCTGTAAGTTATTAACAACCGTGTATTCAATATTTAACAGTTGGGAAAATTTACTCTTCAGTCAACCTAATCTGTCAGTTATTAATGTTCATGAAACAGGCAATGAAAGACTAAGAAAAGCAAGACTAGAATAGTTGCTTTGGATGTCCAGACATTACAAATCAGAAAACACTTGAGCAAATTGGTCTGACATAAAATAACCTAATAATTATTTACAGGAATTGTACCTTGGGATTTGCACCATTCCAATTTTAATCAAATATCTGTGGTTCCTGCAATTCCACTGAAACTATGTTTTTGATGACGTCACTAATCGGAAAGGTGATAAAGCATATTTTGTGATAGTGAAGTCAAACACTTAGTTTTAGTGGAATTGCAAAAACCACAGACATCTGATCAAAAATTGGAATAGAATAAATTGATGCTACCGGTGTCTCTGATACATTTAGAATTTTTTGTTTTAGAAAACCTCTTTACGAACTGGTCATAAAAGACTAAGAAAAGATGCTACAATAGTAGCTTTGAATAACCAGACATTATGTATGAAAGGATTAATCAGAGTGAAATGGGTAACGAGAGTCTTAGAAAAGGAGAAGACTAAATGAAGCAAATAAACGTTGGGATAATCAATAACCTGCTTGTATCATGTCGATTCCACATTATTTATATATATACTTGATCAACCTACCCTCACATCAGTTTATATTGAACTTCAGTCATTATCTTTTCTCACACTGTAAATTGGTTTTCAAGGAGATGCTCTTCTTGACCCTTTTTAAACAGAAGTCAAGAGGTTCTTCAAGAGAGCAGCAGTAAAATTGACTACACACTTTTATATTTTGTATGTCAGTTTTTATTCAACTTATTGGTCTCAATCTTTTCCCAGACGGTTCTCAAATGAGTTGCCAAAATTACCCTCATTGTACACTGCATGGTGTTGCCAGTCTTCATTAGCCCATAAGGTGCAGAAAGTAGGAGGTACTCCATTCTTTTCATTTTATTTTCAAATGAGTTACCTTCCCTGACTAGTTTAATGTAGTGTATAAATCAACTGTCACAAGATTGTACAACTTGTCTCTGAAGAGGTTTAATCCAGCAAAACTGGCCTAGCCGTACACTAAAGATAAAAAAATTCTGTCGCTTTAAAAGCTAGAAATCATGAGAGATAGATCAACATGTAAAGAATATTGATAAAATCATCCTAGTGTCATGAAACTTGTTCAATACGTTATTAGGCTTGTCTGAAGGGAGAGTGTTTCATTAAAACATGACAATTAATTTGTTATTCCCACATCAGGGATGACAATATACTTGTCTCAACCAGTCATGTCTGACTATTGCTTTAGCTGTATTTCAAATAAAACATGTCCAATATGCTTACTTTTCTAGACACCTGATACCACTTTTCATTATGAAATACTTCTTCATTTATGACTCATATGAAAAGTCTACCATATGGCCAAAATTTTGTTTTGCTGTTCAAATCATTGGTTAATGAATTGGTTTATTCAATTGGTGGACAAAAGTCTATATATATCATAGCAATAATTGCTCCATAAAACCCAGTTTTATAAAGATTTGAATGCAACAATACCTCAAAACCATAGCTTTAGGACTAAGCAGGTGCTGACAGTGTTGAGCAGAGATTCAAACTCATAACACCAAAATTATGATCACTTATTGAATAATCCGGCTATTACTTGAAAAAGGCTTGTGTCCTAATACAAATTTCCCAGTTTAGAAAGTAATCAATTATATCAGAAATGAAAATAACTAGATGACTTTTACTTATGCAGACGACAATGGCAACAAATTGAGTTAATTAAACATGTCTGAGCTTTGTAAAATAAGGGAATATCCAAATAAAATGTTGCTATTTTAGAAAGCGATTGATTACATTGGAATGAAGCAGTAAATAATAGACAACCTACAGTCAAAGAAAATACATGACTTTAATAATGGCTTTCTGATTATAATCTATTATTAGTTTGTCTTACCGGTATTTTTTTCATTTAAAGAGATTGTTTTCTATATTTTTTATGTATGTGTATCGGAGACACTGATAGCATCAATTTGCACCATTCCACTTTTCAATCAGACGTCTATGGTTCCTGCAATTCCACTAGAACTAAGTGTTTGATGATGTCACTAATTGCTAAAATGCTTTATCACTAATTGGGACGTCATAAAATGCTTGGTTTTAGTGAAATTGCAGGAACCTCAGTTGTCAAGCTGAAAATTGGAATGGTGCAAATTATCACGAAAAATGCTTTATCAAATAAGGACGTCGCAATTAATGAAATCTTAAAACGCTTAATTGATGCTATGAGTGTCTCGGATACACATAAAAAATATAGAAAACCTCTTTACAATCCCTTTAAGATAAAGATAGACAGTTCAATTATACACTGCTGTGTATAATCAACTCACAGTAAGATAATTTCCTTGTCATTTGTGTAAGTGCTGTTACTCTATGACTAGGAATTTTAGGGTGTAACATTGCTGTTAAGTAATGTTATGAAAGCACAGACACAGGCATGGAATAGGGTTTGTCAATATATCATTTCATTTATATAGTGCTTTACAAAAGGGGCTCAACCATGTAACTCAACAAGTCAGGGGGGACCAAGATAAAAAAAGGTTTAGAAAATCTCTTTACAATCCCTTTAAGTTACGATTTAGTCTATAGATCCCAAGAATATAATAGTAGGCCTACACTGTTATTATGTCCTTGACTATGAATATGCATAAGCTAAGATATTATTAACAATACAATATAAACAAGACTGAAGATCAGTGTCAACAGGATGTGATAATATAACTATACTAGTCAAGTAGGATAGCTCGTATCTTCACTCTAACCCTTAGTTCATAACATATAATCTTATTCTCCAGATTTTAAGAAAACCAGTAATCTGATTGGATAATAAAACTAAATTTAAAATCAATTTTAGTGATTGACCAATCAGATGTCTGGAACACTAAAATCATTTTAAGTTAAGTTTTTAAGGCCCTTGTTTTCATCTTGACAAGCCAAAGATTATAAAAGATTAAAAAAATTATAAACCTGGGTCTTGTTATCAAAATGTCAGTTGTCTGTGTGAAATACGAAGTCAGTAAGATAGGATACTATAAATAGATGTAATTAGTTAATTGTTTAATTAAGATTATGATGTAATTAATGATAAATAGAGTTTAATTGATAATTGGGAGAACAATAATTGTCATTATCATTATTGTGCCATTTGGAAGCAAGGGGTGGTATTGTGGAGAGAGGTGTTGGGGGAGGGGGGAATGTTTAGAAATTTTAATCATCGAAATCATTAGAGCATGGACTGACCCATCATTAGGATCAAAATGGCAGATTCAGCTAAACTGATATCATTATCATCTCCTATATATTATCTCTTATATTATCACAAAGTCCTTTAATTCTGCCAAATTAATGAGCGGATTGACCCTTTCTGACCAGTCACATGACCTTTTAAGCTACAGCCCTAATTATTTTAGCTGAGGATTAAACTGTAAGAGAGACAATAAAACAATGAATATATCTATAATGCTTAAAGAATTACTAGTTTTTGTGTTGACTACAAAGAAATGAATATTTAAATAAGACAGTAGAGAAATAAACTAATGAAGCATGAAATTCAAATGGCAAGATATCAATGAATCTTTCTTTATTGTCTCATACAAATGACTAGACCCTTTACCATGCATAAGGACACACAAATAATGAATATTCAAAGAGCCTAGAGAAAATAGACTAGCTTTTTAATCGCAATATTGCGATATCGTTCAATATTGTCCCCATTGATTAGACTCTACCATATCAGTTCCTCTGAGACCTGCAAAGAAGGATACAAAAGCCATAGAAATGAATATTCATATAAAAGCCCAGAGAAAATGCTAGTATTTTGCACGATAAATTTGCAAAGTATCAATGACTCTGAATGATTGACATTTAACCATGCATAAGGACACACAAATAATGAATATTCATATATTGGCCAAGAGAGAATGAACTAGTTTTTTAATAGTTAATGATGCATGAAGTTCAAGTCGACTTTCACCTTTAAGTTGTGATGAATGTCAAATTATAAACAACTAGGTTTAACTGTTACAGGTATATAGTATTCCTCTTGTCTCTTGTCACTAGGACGTTTAGAGGTCACCTTATCATTTTACAATAGACAACTTTATTAACAGAGAGGGTGATTAGTAAGGGGTATATTAGTACGCGAAAGTCATAAATTTGTCAGTTTAATATGTACTTGTGGCAAGATATGCACCAATACTTCTTGGAGTCTTGAGCTGTTCTCCACCCCCTTTTCTTGTAGCCTTATCATTTTATATAAGAAACCATTATTAAGAAAGAGAGAGGGATTATTGAGGGTTATATTAGTACTCGAAATGATGCTTTCAGTCATATGATTCCGATGGGACGAAAAATTGATACCAATCGGATACCTGGTGTGCCAGAGACAATTGGAAAATGAAAAAGAGTAGGTTAATGCCATTGTCTTAGCATAATTTCCCTGCCACTGCAAAGCGATGCCTGTCTTCATTAGTCTACTGAGGTGAACAAAAGTAATACACTGTCCCAATTCCCCTTCTATATACCCCTGCCTCCACCTTTCAAAAACCATAGTATTTAGATAGTGACCCTTAGGGTTGCCCCCCCCCCCCCAAAAAAAAAACCCAACTTCTTCAGTATTTAAAATGAGAATATCAAAAGTATGCAATACTCATTGACCCTTAACACAATACATGATATACAGGTAATGAAAATAACTCAGAATACCTCAATATCATATATTACCTGTAGTTGACAGAGCCATAAATATTGTTTGTCAACGTTTACTTAGTACTGGGCATTTATCAAGTTTAACTTAGTGGTTATTGCTGAATTTTGACCAAAGAATTATCTTCTCAGTGTTCAAAACTTACACCCAACATCCCCCCTCCAAATTTTTAAAAAATTTCCTTGACAGAGTCATAAATTTTGTTAACTTATTAGTGGGAATTTATCAAGTTTAACTGGGATATTGTGGCTATTGACCGAGGGTTACTTGTCCTAAACTACTGTCCTTACCCCTATAAAACAGGGGCTACCCTTTGACCCACTAGAAACTATCAAGAGGCTTATATCACCCTTGTTTATTTACTTTGGGGTTATTTATCAAGATTAACTGGGTTATGCTGGATTTTAACCCAAGGATATCTAATCACTGTTCAAAACTAACGTCCATGCCCCTAAAAGAAATGGGGGTACCCTTTGCCCCTCTAGAAATTATCAACAAGTTTTTCTATTACCTTGTTTACATAGTAACTGACATAATATTAAGTTAAACTGGGTTATTGCTGAATTTTATCCCAGCTGTTCAAAACTAGCGCCCCTTCCCCTAAAATTCTCTATGTTTTGGGCTACCATGTGTCCCACTTTAAAGAAAATTATCAACAGTATCCTTGTGTACATTAGTAGTGGGCATTTCTCAATTGTCGAGACCCCAATATCCTAGATCACACTCTTACACATTGTGACCTAAAAATCCAACATCTGCATCTCCCAAGTGCTGAGATCCTTACATCCTAACTATCCCTCTCCTTTACATTGTGACCCACATATTCTACAAGTCTCGGCCCCCAATATTACGAGTTTGTGACCCACTATTCTACTTCCCCCCAATCAGCACCCAAATATTAAGAGAGGATTTGAAACTTGATACCCATGACGGTCATGGATTAGGCAACAATCAAACTGTACCTCAATATACCTTAAGATGTTCATGAGAACATAATGTCATAAAAGCACTGGCCAAGATCACAAAATAAGGATTTTTGATTTAGTGTAAGATCTTCAGATATCTTATCAAGATTGACACTATCAACCCAGCCTAAAACCCCTACAAATCTGTTCATACTTCGTATCCCACTAATAGGTTGCCCTTGTTCATGTAAGCTTATGTCCATGCAATAAATTCAAGTTTTAGGCTATTATTTTTTTAAAGATACTGGTATTTTAAAATGTATCAGGAAAACTGACAAATACTCAACCCTTCAATTTAAATGTATTCAAGAAAATTTAAATGTTTAGGGAGTCACACAAATATTTGGGGTAGTGCATCTTTAAATGGTTCCAACAAAAGAGTGCCATTGTCATCAAGAAAAAAGAAAAGAATTTAGTTGGCTCAAGTCCAAATAAAATTCAATATAAAAAATAGGTCACAACATAACAACGTAATAGAGAGAATTATTTGAGAATTAATGAAGACCTCAGAGACACCTCTGGCTTTAAAAGCGATTGGTTCATTATTGCTGAAGGAATCGTTTTTATCCGTTTCAGAATATTTTTACTCGGTAACGGATTTCTAAGTCCTTCCTACGGCAAAAAAGATTAGTTCGAGAATCTTCCGCTTGAAAATTTATAAATAAAATTTAACTTACAATCGAAGGCTTTTAAACTCTGTTCGCTTCCATCTACAGACACACCTAAAACTCTTCCTGAAGCCATTTTATCTGTTTAAAATTCGTGTGAAATATGAAGTTTCGTCGAAGTTCTCTCGTAAGTGACGCTTGTCTATTTCTAGTTATAAGAATAGTTGACCTTAATGGTGGCGCTGTGGAGGTCACAGTTTAAAGCGGCACATCGGGGATTTATTTTTTACTTTTAATTAGAACCAAACCAATATTTCATCCAATCAACATTGGCTAAATTTATTATTCAGTGCCTCACTTAATTGTTAAGAATTTCATAATCATGTGACATTTTGACTGACAGCTCGCATTAGGTTTTAAGTTAGTTTTTGGGGTGGGATAAATAGCAAAGAACTTGGGTTTTGGTTTTATTATATTGTAGACAAATTGAATGTTACAATTTCATTGTGAAAAGGATACTATAGCTGAAATTGAGCTTGAGTCAAATGGACCATAAGCTAGTTGTAGATGACAAGTTAATGTCCACTTCCAGTTAACTGATATTAGCAGACAGGTAGTTGTTGGTAGATGACAAGTTAACAACCTCTTCCAGGGAACTGATTTCGAAGACTAGATAGTTGTTAGCAATGTTTTGATACAAAAAATAACCTGCATGAAAAAAGCAGGGCTTTAAGAAAGAATTCAGCCAATCAAAGTTCAGTATAGATTTATTAACTATTTAGAAGACTTCACATTAAACATAAACTCAACAATGATTGGATAATATGGACCAATGGCAGTGAACCTCCATCATCAGAATGTAACAAAAGTATAAATAAGTAAATACAAATGTATCAAATAATAACAAAATTCATTTTCTCAAAAGTGTTTCAGAAAAAATTTGCTCCATGATGATATTCATTAAAAAAGGTACCAAAGGTCATTATATACAGCCAGAATGACCTACAGCATCAATTATATCCTTGGTTCCTGACTGAAGTAATAATACCCCTGAGGAGGGTTTCTAGCTCAACCTTTGGAGAAAGTCTTGGCAATTTTATCAAATCTCTGTCAACTTCGTCAATAAGTTATCCACTGTAAAAGCTTTTTGTGATTCCCTTTGCTTGCAGCATCAATCATATCTTTGGTTTCAGCCTAGCGTAATATTACCCCAGAGGCAGATGCTAGAGAAACCTTTGGTGGTATATCAGAATTCTTGATTTTTTTTTATCCACTTTAAAGCCTTTTTAAGGCTATTGATTTATTTGCAGCATATTTTATGTGTCCGAGAAGTTTAAAAGGTAGAGGACTCAGGAATTAAGCAAATCAAAAACAAAAGAGGAACTTCATACAAGCACAAGTCAATCAAACAACATTAAAATAATAATCAAAATTTTAGCCAGATTGCAAGCAACATAAATACAAATTCTTTAGTTATAAATATTTCTATTTTTCACAACCTAGAGCAGTTCTTTGGTTGAACTGGGACATAAATACCATCACAGATTGGCACCAGGCACCTTATTCTCGAAAATTGGATCACAGAAGTCAATTTTAGTGATTGACAAATAAGATGTCTGAAACACTAAAATCATCTTAAGTTTAAGAATAAGGCCCAAGGTGTTTCAGAAAAGCACCATACACTGGCTTAGTTGTATCATTTGGCTGACTTTCAATAGCATTGGCCATGGCATTAGAAATCTTTTCTCGTTTTAAGGGGGGAGGGGGATTTCAATAAAGAGAAAACATAACGTTAAAGGGACAGATTCACCATTTTTTTTACCAATTGTACCTTAGTCTCAGAAATGGGAATTTTACATATTTTCAAGACCCAAACCAACCCCTGAAAATGGCGAATCTGTCCCTTTAATACAGAAAGCCATAGCTAATTACAAAAAATAATGCAAAAAGAAAAGTTGGTTGTCAGCAGTTTATAGAACATCATCACCTTTCAGACTTCAGAAGATGAATAAATGAATAAATAAATAACTGAATGAATAAATAAATGAATCTTTCAGGTATAGGATAACAGATTTATATCATAGCAACCATCCACCTAAAATAACAATTCATAACAAAATTAATATTTGAAAAAATAACAAAATACTATTGAATCTGACGGATATCAAAGTATTTTTGACTGCAGCCAATCATGACCAATCAGCAAACATCATTAAGTTTTCATTATCAGTACTTGGTGCACTTATTTCACTGTTGGCTCAGAACTAAGTTGAGGCCCATAAGAATGACCACAAGAGCCAAAAAGAGTTAACTACCCTTTGTTGACAATAATAAGTTACCTCATATCTGCCAAGTGGAACTGTAGACTGATTGTCAGATACCTCTTCAGCCATTGACCATAACGCCTGTAGATTGGCTGATAGCATATCTAAATCTGGTAATCCCTGTAAATATAGATAGATATACTATATTAACTATCTGAAAGACACATGTATGAACAGTTGGCAAACTAGAATAGCTATGTGGACGCTCTGAAATGCAGAGTTGAGAAACAAAACATCTACTACATTTTAGGCTCTTAAAGCTGAAACACGTACTGAGTCAACATGTGTACAGTATAATGACATCCAGCTTGATTAAGAAGATAATTTACCTGTAATTTCTGTTTATCTTTTGCTTTTTCTTCCGTCTGCTCTTCAGTTAACCAATATGGTAAACCTGTACTTTTAGAAACCTGAAAAATAAGTCCAGAAAACAGTGATATTAGAATAAAAGAATTTTAGGGAAGACAAAAGATCAAATCTGACTATTAACAATATCAAAACTAGCATTCCCCTTTCTTACATTCCACAGTCCCTAAAACTTGCATCCCTCACAAGGGGCAAACAATAGGAAAAATGTAAAGGTACTTATTTCAACTAAGCTGGGATTGAACCCTGTTAAACCTCGCTATACCATTGTTGCTCCCTAAAGACTAACCTGTGGAGACCGGTAAAACCTGATGTCTTCCAGTTTAAAGTCTTTCCATACTGGAGATGGTTGATGTAAAATAAACCGTAGAGTTGAGAGATTCACTATATCAAAATTAAACTGAAAAAAATCAAAAATCTTGATGCAGATTTGGTACGTAAAATCTGTGAGGACTAATTTAGAAAAAAAATCTACATCTAATTAGCCTCTATTTTTTAAATTTTTGTCCATATTGGAATTTAGTTACCTCAAATTTCTTTTAGTAGCTGCTAATGCTTGTTCCATACTTAGAAAACATACAACCATTCTAGTGTTCCAGGCATCTGATATATCAAGCACAAAATTGTATTCACCAATTAAGGTTTTGTCCAAAATATGGCCACCTGTACCATAAGATGTTGCGTAAAAAAAATTGATAAAATAAACAATGCAATCATAAAAATACTAACATGTTTTCTGTTGAGTGTAAAATAATCATGAGAACCATCTTCAGTGTGTGCGTTGGGCATCAATTGCATTTTCCTGACACATGTTCTCCATTTCAGAGTACCTGTAAAATATAAGGTGAAAGGTCGAGTGATATGTAACAAGTTATAATAACAATATTTGTTATACAGTGTTATCAACATCGAACAAATGGTGGCCGTTGGTTCTATTCTAGGTCGTTGTGAGGTGAAGTGTAGTGACTTTGGATGTTTTATCTTTCTTTATTATTCCAATTGGTACTGATAATCCCGTAAAGATGACTGCCAAGAGGTTTGGCCAAGGATCAATTACACAGTGTCAAAGTCTTTTAAAACTATGGCAAATGGGTTTAAAAATTGTCAAAAATCCTATCTTACCTGTCTGTCCATTCAAATCAGCTGATCGAAACTTGGCTCTGATTGTTAACTGGGCAACATAAAAATTCTGAAAACATATCTCTCCAATCTGAAATATCAAAATTTAGTGTGTTATTTTATGATGTTTTTAAGCTGATTACAGATATAATTAAGCTTACATTTAACATTAAAAACAATTCTATTTTTCTTTTTTAGATTCTGAACAGAATTTTGTAAAATCCTCATAAAACAATACATTCATTCTTTTTGATCAGGCTGCCCTTACATGTAATAGTCATTCAACCATAAGAAGCCATATAGGGACCAATTGCTTTCAGACTGACCTCTGTTAATAATAACCAGAGACCATATAAGCTTACATAGACTACTTGCATGCTTTTCTTACCTCTCTAGTGAAAGAATCATCCTTTGTTAGCAAATAAATAAAATAAATAGGATATAGAGATGAGTGCATATACAGATATGTAAAGATTAAAGTCATATATTTGAGCTTGTTTGATAGAACATGTCAATATCATGGCTATATTTTAATATCAATTTTTCATGCTATATTAATTTTCTACCTAATAGTAATATCAAAATGCTATCATTGTTAGTAAGAGTAACTTAAAGTAAAATGCAGACGACAAGCAACTGAATAAAGGAGTAATTTATGTTTGTACCTCTGGGTTTATGATATTTGGAAATGTCACATCAAACATTTTACAACCGGAGAAAAAATCATGCTTATGATCCCCGACCAACAGAGACACTGTTGGTTTGATGCTGCATAAAATTGACTTCTCTTGCATCGATGCCATTCTTGATGGCAAGATGCAGTTCAGGCGAATAACACAATCTTAGGAGCGAAATCTACCAAAATTGTTCAGTGTCATTGATTTTTCATTTTTGTTTACATAGTTTCAGTTACTTCCCTTTATTTCCAATTCTCGTCTGAAATTATCGAAATGGTGAGAGTTAATTTCTTTTGAAAATTTAATTCAAAATTGTTAATGGAATAACCATTTCCAATTTTTCAAAAGATCCTTGCATTTGCAATAATTTTTTTTAGTTTTACTGAAAATAAGAACATTTAAATGGTAGCAAAATCGGGTTGAGTTGTAAATCGGTGGAAGCTAAATCGACCACTAAGACATTCCAGTCAAACTACACAGTAGCTATCTTTTATAAATTTTCTAACGAGTGAGTCTCTGTGTTGTTTTCACTTTCACTCTCACGATTTTAAATCTCGTGTATTGCTTCTTTTTGGATGTCAACACATCAACGGGTAAAATAACTGTCAGACAATTTTACTCGTCTCGTTATTGTTTGAAATACCGCCCGAAGGCTCGGCAAATATTATTTTGAACTCGTCTGAATCTTGGTTGAAATATATATTTAAAACCCCTTCATGACTCATTGAAAGCTGACCGGCAAATTATATACGCTGAACACATACACGTCTTAACTAAAAATAGGTCATCTGTCATCTTTTGAAATTTTAATTAAATTTCACAATTGCTTCAGGGCAAGCTTAATTATTTTAACTTATTTAATCGAATTTTACGAAATGATACATCATCAAATGTCAATTATTTGGGCGAATTGACGTGTGGACGATTTGTCCGGTCACTTCTCAGAATCCAAAATGGCGACAGAATATGACGAACCGATATCAGATCAAGAAAGAGTGAGTAATTTACGTAATTTAACCACTTTTTGTATCATTACATCTAGTAGAATAGATCATGTTTATATCGTTTTGCAGAAATTACAAAATGTTAATGATTATCAGCTTTGCTTTGAACAACATGGCAGCCGGCAACATGAACACCTCCCATTTTTGATGAATTTGTCAACTTCCGCCTTACTTTCCTCATACTTTTTAGTGATAGTTTGAAGAATAATATCTTAATTCAATGTGTTTTTTCTTGTGTAAATGTGACCACAAGTTCAAATTCTACTCCATCTTACCTCTATTGTGGTCTACTTTTTAAAATGTTGAGTAGAAATTAAATGGGGTGAGGCAGTCAGGCAGACCAGATCCAACTAATAATGTCTAATCATAATGTCAAAGATTTAAAAAAAAAAAAAGGGGGGGGTTTTCGGCTATAAGCATATCAACATATATTTTTTACATATAAAATTTAGAAGGTGCTATACAAAGCCTATGCCAGGATTGGATTTTATCGTAATATGGAACTTTGATAAACGATGGTGGTGTGAACAGACTCTATTTTTTATAACAAGGAAACGTAACCAATATCCTCATTTCAGGTGAAGATAGCATCTAATTTTATTCGTCACGCCCCTCCAGGAGAATTTAATGAAGTATTCAATGGTAAGTCAGAAGTTTTCCATTTGTGCTCAGCATATATCAATACAGCCTTTTTTCAACACAAATCTCATTTTGTCCATATGTTTCAAGTTTGATGAAGAATGAATTAAAGAACAACCATTTTAGACTGCATCAAGTTTTTATTGCAAAGAATTGCAATTTTATTTGCAGACTGCACCAAAGAAATGGATAGACAGAGCTCCAAATGTTGTCTCAGAGTTTGTTTGTGTAATAAAAACTTGAAATTCAGTTTACAACTGTGGTTTCGCCAATAAGTTGACTAACATAAATACAGGAGAATGATTTTTGTTTTTTTGTAGATGTTCGTATTTTGTTAGATGATGATAATTTATTAAAAGAAGGAGCAGCAGGGTAGGTCTTCACTTAAAAATAAATGATAAATTCTATTCAAGAATGACAATTTAAAGGGATTGTAGAGAAACAGTATTGGGACATCGATAAAGACAACAGCATTGATTGTCACCAAATCAGTCATTTCAATACTCTGTCTAAGAACTATAAAAAGTAAATGAAATTGATAAATGTGTGTAGGTTTTTATATATGTGGTCTAATCAGTGCTATATTTTGTGTATTGCAGGGCATTTGCTCAATATAATAAGGACCAGTTTACACCATGTAAAGTTGACGGGTCAGAAGAACAGGTAAGTTTTATATTTGAAACATGTATCTAGAGTCCAAGATGAGTTTTTATCAATTTGCTACGATGAATGTTATAGTTGACTTTCAAATTTAGCAAATTCCATTTTCCATGTCCAAATCAGCCATCATTATGATTTAAAATCTAATGTATTCTGTACCATAGCCTTCTGAATGAATATATTGTATTTTACAGGCTTTAATAACAGAACATGGTGATAAAGGTAGTGGACAATTTTTAGATCCAAGAACCAAACAAACATTCAAGTAAGTCCATCAGTGTTTTGATATCATATTTCCCTTGATATATGATTGTCTTTTGGTTTGTCAACTTAGCTAATAGTGTATTATTTGGTTGACTTTAGTGAGAAGAACAATTCTTACTCTTCCTAAACATCAGAGGCTTGAGGTTGGTTTAAGTGAGGGTCACCCTTCCTGCAGGCCTCCTTTTACTGCACTTGCCTATTCTTTCAGAGAGTCCACATAGCTCATTATGTTTATTTTTGTATTTTGTTTTCCAGGTATGATCATCTACGTAAAGAGGCAAAAGATTTTCAATCTGGAGATGTGGACCAAAAGGCTGAACCGTGGAGAGCAGCTTTAGAAACGGTTTTTACTCAATATGTTCACAGTCATTATTTGTACGGTGCTAGCTCAGTGTACGGTTCATATTCCGGAGGCAATATAACATTGATAGCTTGTATAGAAACTCACCAATTTAAACCAGCTAGCTTCTGGTAAGTTATATATATGGGAGAGGCGGTGGCTCAGTGAGTTAGATGCCGGCCTAAAAGTCCATGGTTCAATCCCGGCATAGGTCGAGATAATACCTTCATCCCAGTTTCCCCCTGTCAGTGATGCAGGTAAGAGGGACTGACATGGAAAAAGCATCTAGTCGTTCGGATTGGACAATAAACCGAGAACCCTGTGTGCTACAGGCTGTACACGTTAAAGATCCCTTGACAGTTCCTTTGAATTCCAGGAATGGTAGATGGCGTTCCCAATGGTCTGTTACATTCCCAGAATCTGGTGGTTCCGCCGAGGTCACTGGCCTTGTTAAAGTTCAGGTACCTTGTTATTCCCAAATCTTACTTCCCTGTTTGTTTCTATTCTGAGAGACAATATCAACACTCATGAATTAAGACCCATTTCAGAAAAAATAGACTTGATTTAAAAGTCTTCAGTCATGGATGGAAGTTATTTATTTAGCTTAGACTTGTTTTCTAGCATTGATTTAGAACAATAGGTCATTTCGAAATTGATTTTTTGATTGCTGAGGTTAAAACTTAAGCAAATTTCTAGAATGGAATTGAATATTCAAGGGATTTTATAGAGGTTTTACAGGGACGTCCTGTAAGGTTAAGCATTTGCATGGTACAAATTGAAGCTATCAGTGTCCCCGTCACACATAAAACTTTTTCACAATACCTTCAAGGATGAATTTTGTGTTGACATTTTAAATTTGTTTTGTTTAGGTTCATTATTATGAAGATGGTAATGTTCAACTTGTTAGTTCCAAAGATATAAAAGATACAGTCAATATATCTGTAAGTTGAGTCTCAACTCAATTTCTCTGGATTGTGCACAAATATTTTCTCAATTTCACCAGTGTGGCTATGGTCTGTGATTAAAATCTGATCAAGATATTTCTTGTTTTTGATATGAATGTATACAATAAATTTGATTTAATTGATAATATTTTAGACGGAACAACAGACAGCTAAAAGTTTAGTAAATATAATTTCTGCTGCTGAAGGCGAATACCAAGTAAGATTCAATATTATTTACATTAGATTCAGACACTCTAATGAATTGTGTTACAGTCCCTCCACTCATAGCTTGTGTCAAAGATTGCATTGTTATGTAATTGACAAGAGCTCAGAGTGTTTTGGATATAAAATCCTCATCAGGACAACTATTTCTATTTTGTGAAAAATGAGTATTTATGTAATTGAAATTGAAAATGTTGCCGACACTCTTGGGGCCATATGCAGCACTCGTACTTTACCTAAACTTTGACTAAAGTTAGACTTAAGTTGAACTTTAGGTATGCACCGGCCGATCTTTATGAAATTTGTGCTTAAATTTGACTATCAAATGTAGAAAATGAAAGCCTTGATCCTAACTTTGTAAAGTTCGACTTTAGCCAAAGTTCAACTTTAGTCAAGGTAAGAACGCTGCATACGGCCCTTATCATCCTCATCAGGATAGCTAGTTTTGTTTTAGGTGTTTTGTATACACAATCCTTATCAGGACAGCATTATCCATACCCATTTACAGCTGGGTCAACTGGTAAGCAAATGATTGCTAAGTTTCAGTTCAATTTATGAAATGAATTATTTTCTATTTCAGAAAGCCTTGTCGGAAAACTACCAGACCATGTCCGATACAACATTTAAAGCTCTACGACGCCAACTTCCAGTAACACGTACCAAGATAGATTGGAACAAAATCATTATATCAGGCTACAAGATAGGAGGGGAGCTTAAAAACGCTTAAATCATGATATTTTTGTCATTTGTATATTTCAACCGATTACGAATTAATAATTCCTTCTGCTTTTTTTTCTTTTCTTCTTGTATAAAATATTTTATTTTCTAATTTAGGTTCTTTCATGTTGACAAAAACATAGCGATTTTTATTTTTACCAGAATAATGTTAAGCGATATTCATTGAAACGTAACTTCACAAGATTTTGATCCAAGCTTAGATTAAAATTGAAGTCTAAAGAATAGCTATATTATTAATGCCCGAATTTTGTTTATGCCAAATTAAAATTTTAATTTATTCAAATTCAAAACAAAAGTAGAATTCTCTTGTAAATATTTTTGAATCTTGTGTGACAGTGCATCAATATCTTTGCTAGACAAAACAAGGCCAGGTCCCAAGTGGTGGTTTTACTTTCAAGTTATGATAGGAAATTGGTGAACTATGAAATAAGTGCTTCTATCATGTGAGAGATAACTCTCCTCACAAGGCCAGTTCTCAAGTGGTAATCTATTTAATTTGCTTTTAAGTCTGGTACTTATTTCAATGAATTATTGAGCTTGAGTCATGTAATTAAAATATGAATAAGAATATAATTTGCTTGTTAAACTGTTTTTGTCAGCCCAATATTGAGTACTATTAGCTGTATATATATATAATATTAATAATGAAATAAAACAACCATCTTCACATAGAGATTGATTTTATTTTATCACTGTATCTTGTGGTTAGGGTGGTTGAAAGGAAGGCACTGGCACAGGGTTGAAGCAATGTTCAATAATTTAAGAAAGATGTTAAGAGAAAGCGCAAGAAAGCACTGACAGAGGCATAGAAGTGTTTTCTTTCTTTCTTTTATTAAGTGCTCTCGGTCATCGAGTGGGAGGGGCAAGACGACTTGATTGACAGTCAACACCCAAAAGCAAGGGCTCTGGAATCTGAAACCTTATTATAGAGGAAAACTATGATGAGTTGGGGTCCTTCCCCTGGGATTTAAAAAAAATAAATGCTCTCCTACATTGTTTTCTGAGGGTGAAGACCCCTTAATGTGGGAGACCGTTGACTTGGTTCAACCAGGCCCTATGGTAGTTTAGCCACTGTAAGAAACGAGCATTTATAGCCCAACTGATCAAGAAAACTTGTAAAAGTTTAATACATTATAAGAAGATATAACAGTAAAAATAACAACGGTTAAAATTTGGAATAAAAAAAATGTGTGGATCGAAAGTTCGGAAAAAGTACATAAAAATAAATTGTGAAAAAGATTTGTTCAAAACAAGTAGAGTGATAAAACAAAATAATGTTATGAATATTCATATGAAATATAGAGTTGTCCTATTAAGTTACAAAGTTACAATACCGTTGGAGGCTTCCCTGTTCCGACCTTCAAGCTATCTCACGGCCTCGTGATGGGCACACATTTATGCCTAGGTTTTAAACGCATGGTCACATCAATACGTCCGACATTACATATTTGCGAGTGGGCCCTCCATCTATATTTTGCTGTTAAAGGGTTAAGGAAAAGAAATTTGGTTTAAAGAATCTTAGGCTAAGTTGGGCATGAAAAAGGCCTCTAGAATTTTCGTATTGGATGTCCCGTCAAAATTTCGCCGGAACACAGTTTTTAAGGTAATTTTATCAGATCGTGGATGACGAAAAAGAAAAACAGAAAATACTCAAGTGGATTTTCCACTATCCTATAATAGACATCCACTGATACCGATATAGTAGGCCTACAACTTTGTAAAATCAATGTGGTTGAGTTGACACACATAGTCGCAGAGCACATCGGGAGAATCTTCCACCTTGTTAAATAAATGTAGTTTCCGGATGTTAAAGGGGTGCCGAGTTGACACGCTCAGACGCATAGTATATTAAGTGTATTTCCGATATCCACTGAATATAGTACGCTTTGTTAAATCAAAGTTTGGCATTTGAAAGGGATGTCTAGTTGACAGACCTAATCGCAGAGTATATCAGGTGAATTTATCACTATCCAATCCTATTAGACATCACTGAATATAGTAGGCCTACGACTGTTAAATCACTGTGGTTTTACATTTGAAAGTGGTGCCGAGGTGACAAATCTAGTCACAGAGCGCATCAGGGGAGTTCCCCACTATCCCATTAATTAAACATCCACTGAATCTTCAATCGAGTTTAAACATCGTTTCTCCTCTATATCCTTCCATCTGACCGTGGAGCTCTCCCCGACCTCTTCCTCTTGCAGCCTGGTTCGCTCATTGACCAATACACGGTGTCGCCACACTATACAACCCACGATGCCCATGAATATCAAATACCCTATCGTTATCAACATCGCTATGATGCTGTCATGACGGATCGTTGCCAACGTTTTCATCTCGACGCATTTGAAATGAGAAATCGTCTGTCCTTTCTTTCCTAATTCCAGCATTTCGACACACACGTCGTATTTAGTGTCCGCTTGCAAATTTCTGAATTCAAATTCGTTCCGTAACACGTCCAGGTTGTCCGAAATGAAACGTCCGTTTGCGCTTCCAGATAGATATCCGACTACAGTTTGATTATGCGTTCCGTTAAACGTGTGTAAATATTTCCACTGAATTGCTAAAGTCGTTGTTGACACACCCACCTTTGTGATGGCTATTTTGTTTGTTGCATTAGTTACCATGGAAACGGGAATATTTGGCAGAAGTGAGCGGGCAATATCGGTTTTGATGTTGTATGACGTAGCATCAGCAGTACAGCCAATCAGATAACAGATCATCAGCAACAGGATATAATATACATCGTTCTCCATTTTGGCTTCTGAAATGCAACAAAAGATATTAGATTGTCTCACTAGCATGTTATAAGCAGACAGTGGACCACTCTAGGTAAGAAAATCAAGAACGAGTGATGTCTGATGTTTCTATAAACAGACAATTATAGTACAACAGTGACCTACTCTCTAGAATATAACCCAGAGTTAGGTGTTACTTTAAACAGACAACAGAGGCATACAACCCTGAATTGTCTGGTGCTTCTATTAACAGACAACAATACATCACTCAGTGTAGGGTGACGCCAAACGACAAAACAATAGAAATTAAGTGATGTCTGGTGTATCTATAAAATTGACAAGATCACAGAAGAGACCCGCCCAGTGTTAGGTGATGACTGGTGTTTCCTAAAACTAAACAACAGTGCAATTGTGAATCACACAATATTAGGTGATGTCTGTTGTACTGTAAGCACTTAACAACAAAATCCTACAACCTGGAATCACCATCACCTCCTATACTGATATCTAAGAGTTAGGTAAATATAATAATATAATAATATTATAACTTGATATTGCCTATGCTTATCGACTGACTGAAATCAACTCGTCAATTGTAACAGCTGGTTTTATTGATCTCGTTAAATCTCAACTTAAAATGTGATGACTTAAGCTAATATTACATACATCTAGGAAGTCAAGCGATTTATCGTGAAAGATCTACTAGCGCCCTGTCATCTTCACAATGCCAAGCTATTCCGAAATGCGTCTTATACCTTGACTACATAAGACACCTTTCTTGCATCACGGAAGTAAATGCAGCGATTTGTTGGATTTTACGTTAGCGAATACAGCCATTCAGAGTCTTGGACACAAATCTGTAAACAATTCACTGGCGAACAATTCAATCAAATCTCTACATTTGTGATACAAGAGTGGTGGTTATTGCTGTCAAGGTATAAGACGAAGTTGTAATGGCTTGACATTGTGAATACTGGCGAAACTCGTAAATTTTCAAGAATTGCTGAATATTGTTGTTCCCTAGAGCTGTGTCTAGATATCGTATATGTAGGCTTACATACAATTGTTAAACTCTGTTTGTTTGTATGAATGCAAATGTCCGAAACTCAAACCTTTAATCTATTCCCAGTATTAAAGTAAATGTAGTGAATGTAATAAAAAATATGTAAATATAGGTCGTATATTATTAAACCATTATCTTTAATTAAGTGTTGAGGTATTTATCATATATTAATTTATAATTTTATTCATTACCAGTGTATAGCTGTCGGTCGAAATAGCACCGATTAGCACAGTTCAAATTTTTACTCAGACGCCTGTGGTTCTTGCAATTCCGCTTAAAGGGATATCTCAAAATATGCTTGTATCACTAGACTTTCGCGCTTAGTGACGTCATCAAACACTAGGTTTTAGTGGAATTGCAGGAACACCTGCCACATGGTTGAAAATTGGAATGGTGCAAGTCGATGCTTTCAGTGTTCTAGATACGAATTAAAGATTTATAAAACCTATTTACCACCCCTTTAAACACATTATGTATGTCGCCACTATCGTAGAAGATATTGTTTGACGTCACATATAGTCAGACATTTCTGTAATTACAGGAACCACAGACATTTGAATGAAAATTGGAATGATGCAAATAGAAACCAGACATGTCCCCGATATACATAAAAAGTTTAGAAAAACTCTTTACATTCCCTTTAAGACAACATATTTCTAGATAGAAATCTAGACTCTTCTACTTAACTAAAAATCGTGCCAATAAAATTGTTACAATAGCTCCCAATGGAATCGACTTCCTTCATTACAAGAATAGAAATATAAGAAAAGTCGGAATAAAAGCATGGAATTTGATGGGAAGAAAGGACTTGGCAGAAATATTAGACCTAGCTTAACACCTAGCTTGGAGCTGAATTCTCAGTGGAATTCACCAAATGAACAAGTTCTTTATCAAACGGCCTCTAAGGAAACTATGTAGAATTGCCGAATGGTTCTTTTTTAAGAGTAGAATTCGGCAGTTTCTGTAAATCTGAATCTGATAGCTAGTAGAATTTTCACGGTAGACCGTTTGTAAGAGTTACAGTTGAAGGGAGAATAACAACAGGGAGTTATTTCCGAAACGTTGTTTGGAGGCAAGATGGAGAGGCCCAAATTTATAGTTGTCAAAAAAATATGACTGACTAAAATCATCACTTTAATGTTATTTGTTCCGAAATATTGAGGGAAACCCGAAAGCAGCCCCATATTGCTTTACTTTTGGTTTCACTTTCCCAGAATTCGTTATTGTTATCAAGAAAAGGGTTCTTCTACATGACACGCTTTGATTGGTTAAATAAAGTCATTAGAACTCGACTGTGCTAGAAAGCTGTCTGAATTACTATGGAAATAGTCATATGGTTCTATTTTTGGTTTCGCTATCCCACAATTTGTCATTGTTATCAAGAAAGGGTTCTACACGACACGCTTTGATTGGTTTGATAACGTCATTAGAACGCGACAGTGGTAAAAAACTGTTAGATTGCAATGGAGACAAAAGTTAGAAAGAAATAAATCAAAATAGTGGCCGAGCTTGGTGTGAAGGTATAGCTTAGTTATGAATTATGCTGATCTGATATTTACATCGTATGTGAATTCAGTATATTTATTGAACAATCAATAGTAATTTCCATATACAGCTTTATAATATCATTGTAAATTTTATAACATCCCACAGTGTAGGCAACATGTATATATACAGTTTATCCACATGCCTCTTGGGACATGGCTTTGAAATGACCTGAATGGAGTTTGATGTCCTACTTTTCTAAGCTGGATTATCTAATTTGCATATTTGCATAAAGCCTATATAATTATATAAGGAAGGAAAAGGGAAAATCTGCACCCCCGCAATCGCAAGAGTAATGGGAAAAACGAGTCTAGCTGACTGTTCAATTAAGATGTATGATGATTGTTTAGAAGTCTACCAGCTTAATCTAATAACAAAATATTCCTTGAGCATTTATTGATATACATATATATCGTTTAAAGATGGGTTCCTGTATTTTGTGAATAAGAACAATTACACTGTCGAAGGTATCATGCCTTCAGTAATGGAAACAAATGGAGTCTAGCTGACTGTTCAATTAAGATGTATGATGATTGTTTATAATCCTGCTTAATCTAATATTGAAATATCGATATGATTTATATCGTTTTAAAGATGGGTCTCCACATTTTAGTAAAGTAAAGTAATAACACGTTTCTCTGCTTAATCTAATATTGTAATATCGATATGATTTATATCGTTTTAAAGATGGGTCTCCACATTTTAGTAAAGTAAAGTTATAACACGTTTCTCTGCTTAATCTAATATTGTAATATCGATATGATTTATATCGTTTTAAAGATGGGTCTCCACATTTTAGTAAAGTAAAGTAATAACACGTTTCTCTGCTTAATCTAATATTGTAATATCGATATGATTTATATCGTTTTAAAGATGGGTCTCCGCATTTTAGTAAAGTAAAGTTATAACACGTTTCTCTGCTTAATCTAATATTGAAATATCGATATGATTTATATCGTTTTAAAGATGGGTCTCCGCATTTTAGTAAAGTTAAGTTATAACACGTTTCTCTGCTGAATCTAATATTGGAATATTCCTAAACCATTTATTGATATGCATGTATATCGTTTAAAGATGGGTTTCCATATTTTTGTAATTAGTTTGAGGCTATAGGGGATTGAAGATAACTTTTCGATTAAGCATTTATGGTGATTCTTTAGCTTAGAATATTCCTTAGCATTTATTGATATGCATGTATATTGTTTAAAGATGGCTTCCTGCATCTTGTGAATAAAATAAATTACGAGTAGTTAGATCTTCTTTAAGGCCTTCGATTAAACATTTGTGATTTAATGTGATTATTTAGCTGTGTTCTTGCTTAATCTAATATTTAAATAGCGATAATATCATATTGTTTAAATAATGAACATGATAAAGAAATTATATTCAATTAACTTAATCAAGTATATCAATACAGCAGTGAAGGGGAATTCCGCTGTACAAGAAGACTTAATTATACGGTTCGTGTTTCTTCTATTCGAATAGAATACCCTACTGATTTTCATGCGAGATGGCATTTTAGATATGGAAAGGATGATTATAAAGAGACTGTGACTTTACAAAGAAAAAAAAACAAATAAGGGGCCGCAAAACTTTACTCGTAGCATATTTCATGACCGTAAAATCAGCAATGGTACTTACTTTTCATGGCCTTGAAAAAAATGTGCAATTATCAAGTCATCCCCTTTAAACCTTGTCTATTTCAGCTTGGCAACAAATGCCACAAGTCCTATGTGTATAATATCAACCGCTGTATTAAATTATGGTATGAATTATTGAAGAACTATAGAAGAGAGACAGGTTCATGTTTAATTGTCTGATCGAGAAATTTAATTAAATGAAGTTTTACATCCCACTGTTCTTGTTTGAGCTAATGAAAATAGGCAACGCCGTGTGCATTACGAGAATTTTGTCCAGGGATGCTGGATTTATCAACTGGTCCCAAAATTCTGAGTTATACTATTGTTATTCGGGCAATTAGTCCTACTTTACTTTCAAGAGGATTCAAACCCTCGGCACCTAAGCGCCAATCATATTATAATAATCAAACACAGTCTTAGCTATTCCCTTTCTAGTATGTCCTTACCTTAATGGGGATTCGAACCTTACACCGAACGGCAAGCCAACTAAACACGATCTGAGCTATTCCAATGTCCTAGCAGACGACAATAGCTACAGTCTGAGCTATTTCAATGTCTCAACAGACGACAATCCAACTCAACACAGTCTAGGCAATTCCAACGTCCTTGCAAACGACAATCCAACACAGTCTAGGCTAGTCCAATGTACTAGCAGAGGACGATCCAGTCCTCTACTGCCTGAGCAATCCCACTGTCCCAACAGACGACAATCCAACTTGCCACCGACTGAGCTATTCTAATGTCCTAGCAGACGACAATCCAACTCAATACTGACTGAGATATTCTAGCGTCCTAGCAGACGACAATCCAACTCAACATAGTTTAAGCTATTCCAATGTTCTAGCAGACGACGATCCAACTCACTACTGACTGAGCTATTCTAAACTAAACAGTCTAACAATGTCCCTTGTGACTGTAAATAAATTATTATCCTTGTAGAATCAAAAGATCAATATGACTATTAAAACTATTCTCTTAATCCCTTCTGACTTCTTTTCTTTTCATACTATA